CCGCTTTGGCACCGTCCACCGCTAGAATCGGCGATGGAGCTCGATCTTGCTAACTGGGCAGTTGGGCTTATTATTGAATGCATACATCTATTGATACAATAATACTGCTAATTCTCTTGATACAACGTTGCAAAGTTGACACCAAAGACCTATAAAAAATGCTCATTTTGGTTATTTTTTTTTTATAAAAAGACGAACTTACTGATCACCAAAATATATGTCTATGGGGTTTAGGTGTAATTTTATAATAAGATACGTCTTCCATATAGGCCTTACCGCGAGCGCAAGCACAGATTCAATGATACAGCGTTGCAAAGTTTATTTATTTGAGCTTTAAAAATGTTCATATTTTGAAGTTCCGCGTTTAAAGAGTGATTTTTGTGGCTCTTGTTTTCGAATTTGAGGAGTAAAATCTACCCACGTGTCATTTGTAGATGTATGTTCGAATAAACAGGGATACTTTGATTGGTGGTGGTACAGCGTTGCCAAGCTAACAACGTTAAACTCTTGAAATTATTATTTATGGTAGTTAAAGATGACGTCTATGAATGTAATACCTGATATCAAGGCAAAATATCGAGGGTTGATGTCAGTTCCGAGTGACAATTGGTATTGGCAAAAATACTATGATCAAGTTTATGAATACTTCTTTTAAAACGATAAATAAATGAGAAATTAAAATGAGGAATCCTCTAAGAATTGATATTTGATTTTGTTTTTTATAACTTTGCTTTACTTTTTTAATTTTTATTTTATTTATTTTATTTTTTTTTACATGTTTAATGCTTTTACATTTTTAATGTTTTTACATTTTTTAAATAACAATTATAATTTTTTTTTATTTTTTTCTTCATTTTTTTTTCATTTTTATATTATTTTTTTTTTTGCATGAATTTATCACACATCGGTACAAGTTCTGCCTGCAAATCTATGGACAATGTCTTGACACTCTTGACACTGTCGCTAATCTTAAACTTTAACATTAAGAAAAAAAAAGAAAAAACAAATAAATGATTAAATGAACACTAAAGGAACAAGAACGGATGCAATGGATGAACGCATTATTTTTTCAAGGCGTAATAAATGTATTCTCTAGATCAAGATTAATTTATACTTAAAAAAACTCGAAATATTCCGTATTCTATGTTTATTTTTTAATTTTTCTTAACAAAAGGTCGAATTGGCAACTATGGTGAGGCAGAATTTGTTGGATTTTGAAAGAAACGCTGATGATGAGTGTGACGCTTGAGTATTCCATTAAGCATGACAAAGTCTCTTGAATTTGATTTTGAAATCAGATTATTATTTTTGGAAGTATCCTAATTTTAAAATTATTTTATGTATAAATGTTGAAGGAATATAAAAAAATAGGCAACAGTGTAATTTTTTATGCCAATTGTCATCTAGTTCTAATTAGAGTCCTAACATTTCGCTTTAAAATACCGAGACATGTTTGATCGAAGTTTTTTTTTTTAATAAAAAAACAATAGAAAAGACATGTTCAGAGGTATAAGATGTAAACTTTGCAACGCTGAGTTACTTGAAATTATTGTAGCCTTACATCAATGCACTATGCATCCACGAGTACCACTAGGGGTTAATTTCGTGCCACAAAATACAATTGGACATTCACTAAAATTGGTTTTTAAATAAGAAACTCAAAAATATGAGTAATTTTAAAGCTCAGAAAGGTAAACTTTGCAACGTTGCACTACCTAAACAGGGGTCATACATAAGCTGAAACTTTTACTGGAGACTTGCTTTATCATTATGCTTCATTTACGCTTTGTTTCAGTATAGTAAAGTTCACTCTCATGTTAGTTTTAGGAAGATAATATTTGAAAATATGAAGATTTTTAAAGCTTAAATATGCAAACTTTGCAACGTTGTATCTCCGAAACCAGACGTATACTCAAGCTAAAATTTTTACTGGAGCCTTGGGTCATCATAAGGTTTCGTTTAGGCCACATTTGAATGAAATCCCCGAGTTTCACAAAAGGGGCCAAAAAAGGCCCTTTTTTTGGGAGGCTCTTTCTAAAATCACCCAGAATCTTGCATTAAGCTTTCTCTCCTTTGAAAACGTTTCCCTCAAATATTAACCGACCAAGGGCTCCTGGAAGAGCTTCAGAAACAAGCTCCCGTTTTCAGGGAGTTTCATGGAAAAGTGAAAAGTAATTCGCTGACTGAAAATGAAGATGTTCATTGTTCACTCTGCTTGAATATAACGCACTGACAGAAAGTTAATGAGCATTTCAGTATCTATCTTTTAACTTGGTATGGTGATATAAGTCATTTCATCCGCTCAAGTTTCATCTGTGTTTGAAGTTGAGCAACAAGCGCGAACATGTTAATTACAGAATGATAAATCCATGAGAAAGCAAGTATCATATGCGTAACTGCAGTGCTCAATGTCGCACTTGAATTAATATTTTATTTTGTGACTAGTGCAGCAATTAATTGCAGGGCTTTCTGTTGTATTGATCGTTGTAAGGCCTCAAAAAATGTTGTCAGCTCCCTCAAGAGTGTCTATAACTCGACTATAAAATAGTGAACTATCTCCCTAATGGCTGTATCAATGTTGTACCCGGGTAGTTAATCCTACTTTATTTCAGTTTGATTTTGTCGTATGCCAGGACTTAGTGTTGCTTACATTCTTTAGCCTCTCCTATGAAAAATTTTATTTGTCTCATTTCTCTTCTAGTTCCTGAAGTATGAAAAATTAAAAGAATCTTACTTGAAACTAACCGATGATAACAAAAAGGTGAAAACGGCTTACGCTAAATTGATGTCAGAGTACAAAAAAAGGTAATTTACTTTTTTCTCGAATAGTCCTCACCAACTGAAAGTTTTAAGTATCTAAAATTAGTTACTGAAGGGTTTCAGGTAACACCTTTAGGTGTGGAGTATGTGGAGTCATTGTTCGGTTATATTTTAACTTACCATTTGGAGGTTGAAAACGCTATCTCAACATTCAAGGCTCCTTGCCTAAAAAATCATTTTTTCAAATAATAAAGAAAAAAAATTACCCTTCTGAACACTGATCTTTTCACCAAAACGTCTTTAAAAATTGTATCTTGTTGAAATACTAACTATAGAGATTTCCGTTTTATACAGGAAATTTTTTCCTGCTCTGAAATTCGTCTTTCAGAATGTTGTATGTTCAACTATAAAAAATAATCAACGCAAAATCACAATCCTCTGTGTGTCCTCCCCAGTTCAAACTGTGATAGAATTTCATAGAGTAATAGATTAAGTACTTTCACATTTTGCTTTCAAATTAATATTTTCAACCCTTTAAGTTTTGTAAAGAACCATTTGTGGGGGCTTGATTCGCATGGTAAACTTAATTTTAAGTAGCTCTATAGATGCTTAGAGCTGCTAACTTGAAGATTAGATTTCATTTTTACATCAAATTTATGGTTTTGTTGGTTTTTCTTTTAGGGATGCTGAATGCAAAGAATTGAAACAAGCTGCTCAGTCTCATAAGAAAGCACCAGCTCTGAAACACGCGCTTGACAGTGGAGCTCAGTCACGAGCACAACCTTTCTTCAATAATCCAAAATTATCGGTGGTATGTTTTATGATCTTGTGTATTTCTTTATTTTAACCGAAGATTTCAGCCTAAATCTAATTTATTAAGAAAAAATACCCAGATAGCTGGAACATTGCAGAAGAGGCTGAGGCAGGTCCAGTCATGGTTCAAAAAATGTCGTCCCCTGAAAATTGTTTTTCCTCAGGCCTGCAATTTCTTCTGAGGCCCACAAAACAGCTCTGTGCAAAATTTCGATCCTTAGGTCTTGTCTTCATGGGCAGTTATCAAGAGTCTCAGGATATAACTTGATTGTTTTCTATCGCATGATGTCTCTACTAATAGAGCTTTCATTCCAGGTCACACCCAGAAAGTGCAATCCACTGTTTAAAACACCAACGTCTTTGTCACCATTCCGAACCATGAACCGCGAGAGGCATCCAAACTATCGGTAAGCAAAGTTTATGTAATGATATGTTGCGTCGCTTGGCCGACAAAAGAGCATAACTACAGCATTGAGCTATATGGACGGCAGGGCTCATTGCCAATAGCACTCAAGTCCCTATGTCAGTAGGGTGACGAATATTCTCTAATATTGTCGCTTGCTCTGCAAATTTGTTTATTTTTCATTTAAAATCCCTTGTCACTAATCCTCATCTATAGAAATGCAGGAACTTTTCGACAACGTAACCACGTCCCTGTGGATCATTAGAGAAAATGAGAGACCTGAGAAAAATAGGAGGGTCTGCTCAAGCGTTCAGCTCATCACGAAAATAGCAAGGCTCTTTTGCAAAAAAATCATAGCAATTCGAAAATATACGAACAGAGTGAAAAGAGAAAAAGGTCACCTTTTTAAATACATATATGAAAAAAAAAGGGGTTTTAGAATGGGAGGACAAGTTTGAAAAATTTGAAAGGTTTGTAAATTCCTGCATCCTGTTAAGTCATCAGTGTCTGTCAAAGCATCACTAACTAGGCATCTCTAACTGATTTACACAGAAATTCTTGCTGATGAAAATTGCCGACAATGTCGTTAAAAGAGTGATTTTTCATATCAGTGGCCGGAAAAATTTTGAATTCCTCAGAATAACTCATCTGAGAGGTACAATGAAAGTCCGATAGCAAGTGATACCTTCCAAAACTGGAGACAGTACCTGATGTGTATACCACAGGATCGAATTAAATGTCTAGAGACTCCATTGAATTTTATTATTTCTAGTATAGTTAAAAGTACAATCTCTAAATTATCCATATAAATGGTTTCTAATAAAATGCTGAAGCCGTTTTGATTTTTACAATTTTTTAATGTTTTGCAGTAACCCAGCGCAATATTCTGGCAGTAGTGTGGGCAGTGCCGTTAGAACTCCAGCCTCCGATTTCAATACACCGTCTTCTTCAGTGCTGAGGTAACTTTTCAAGTACAATGCACTAAACCGAAAATAAAACTAAAAACTGAATTTCAAGAATTTTGGGGACCAAAGATTTTTTTCGTGTTTAAAACATTTTGAATGAACAAAATTTTGAATTAAAAGGGAAAGGCTCCTAAGGAAGCTCTAAGTGAATTTTAAATATTAGACTTCAATACAAAACAAGGTGGTCAACACAATAGGTACCTGGTTCTGTCAGTTAAAAATTTAAAGCATTCGCTCCCGATTTCAACTCACGTAGTGTGCTGATTTTCCTATCCAGGTCCAAAAAAAGGGAAATCTCAAGTCAAAAAAAGGGGAAAATATATACTAAGAGTTTTTTTTTTAAGCAGAGAAATTATCCTATGGAGACTAGTTGTTCTTTTATATCAACGCTACTTTTGAATCAAAAATGGGTAAATTTATTTGATGTGTAGACTTCAATGAAAATGCATGATCTAGTCTGGAGTGATTTTCGAGAGACTCCTCATTTTCGGATGAGACATTCATGATGATTTTCATGAAAAAAATAAATCAGGAAGAATTAGGTGAAAGCAGTAAGCTGGGATGCTGAATTGTAGGAGTTGAATATTGATGTGGAAAATTTCCAGAGAAAAGTACTTTACTTAGAAACCAGTCTGCCGTTTAATTCTGAACTTATCTAGGCTTTTAAAGCTCCAATCAGTTTAAATTCACCACAAGATAACTTCATTTTGAGACTTCATCAATTTATAATACTTTTTATTTTAATATAGTCTGAAAACGGAGTGCATTTGAAATCTTTTTTTGAAAGATATTGGCACATTTGAGTGCATCTGGTTTGTTTCCTCAAAAAATTTTGACGAGATCTAGAGAATGGTCAGTTAAATCTGACTATTTCACTTGTCAGCCATTTTTAATTTTTTATTTTTATCATTCATCTTTTGTATAAACTTTTTTTTTCATTTTAGTAGATTCAATGAACGCGAAAGCAACAATACCGCACGATCCCCTTTTGTGACCCCAGAAGTTCCAATTCAAGATCTTAAACTTGGTAGTTGGCATGGACTAAGGTAAGTTCCTTTTTTTATGCACTTTCTAGTAAATCATCTATTTTTCATGTACCTACTTAATTTCTTTTGATAAAACAGGTAAATGGAGTTGAACAGATCTTTTCACTCCTGTTACCAATGCAGCAATCATTGTCCATTTTTCAAAAGCATATGAAACCCAGGAGGTATGTAGTTGACTTAACATGAATCAAATTTTTTTGCACTCAGTTGCTCTTAGCTCTTAGGGTTTTTTTATTGAGGGACGCGTGTTGCAGTGATTACGACTCCATCACCAGCAGGCAACAAGCTCTGCAGTTCACCTCTGACTGTGATTACTGCAAAACGCATCCCTCAATAAAAATCAAACGTTTAAGTGACTACGCAAACATTTTATTCATTTTAATCTTTAACTTGTATGGTTCCTACATAAGCTTTTCCATCATTTTTCTTTGTAGTTGACTGCTCCAAAGCAACTCTCTCGCCAATAGTACATTTTTCGAGGCACAATGAGGATCTTGGAGAATAATTGAGATATTGATGATTTCAAGTAAAACTAGTCTTAATTCATGTTCTGTAAAAAATCAGCTCCCAAATTCCAATCTTTAAGCATCAAAAAGTCAGTTTGAGCTCTCTTTCTGTTAAAAGAATCCATTTAATTTCGAAACTTCAAACACGTATTTCTCGAAATAGCAAAATCTGCACTTAGGTATGTGCCTTGTCCACCAAGCCTCTCAGTTAAGGTTTAAATTTTAATCTGTGGAATTTCTGAGCTCGTTTCACCTCAAAAGCCCATTTCCTCTCACTAAGTTTGCCATAGGTTTCAAAACACTCAACATCTCGTAAAAGTCTGATTGTTTTCCTGATAGTCTTTTTAGGGCGTTCCTCCAACTTGTTTCTCTCTGCCTCTCTATAATCACACTCTTTATCTTGGCCACTGAATAGTCATTCATATTTTTCACATTTGTCAGCGTAGAGCCCTCACATTATCTGTTGAGTTTCTTCAATGACTTTCCTGTCCCTTGTTGGTGTTTTCACCAAATCACTGCTCTATTTGTTTTGTCTTTTTCCCCGTTTCCAGGCCAAAGAAACCTTTCTGAAGAAATTTTTGAATACAGTCAGAGAATCTCCCAAGAGAATTTTATTTTGACCAGCTTTATTTCTAATCAATGAGTCCTTCATAAATGTTTATTATAACAGAAGCAAAGTATTTCCAGCCAGCAATGCCACCATTCAGAACTACCTATTGGTCATTTGAACAGAACTTGGTTTTTTCCCAATCTTGAAGTTACATTTTGTTTCAATTTATCTAAAGTTTTAATCCAGGCTTAAAGTTAATTTTCATCCAGGCTTATAATTTGAAAAATATTTTTATTGATTTTCATAGTATTCCTTATTTTTATAATTAATCTAAAATTTTCTTCAATTTTTTTAAAAAAATGACGAATGTGGATCCTAATTATCAAGCGTAAAATGATCAATTAATGTGTCCTTAATTTATGTTTATTCTAACAGAACTAAAGTAGATTTTTTCAGTCAGCAATACAACCCATCAGATTTGCTAAATTTTAATAATTTTCAATGAGATATCTAGCCCTCATAATAATTTTTTTCTTCTGTAAGAATTATGTAATTCCAAGAAGATGCAATTTTCAACTTTTGAAGTCCAAGTGTCAACTGAGACTCAAATAAAAATCAGTCATTTCAAGTCATTATTACCTCAATTCCCACTCCCTGCATCTCGCCTGGATTTAAGTCCAAATAAAAGATCTTCATCGAAGTGAGGCACCTTCGTTAGACACAGCTTCTGCAATATTGATTTTTATTTTCCTTTTTTTTTTTTTTTTAAACCATCAAATCTTAAGAATAATTACATTGATCAGACAAGAATTTGACAAAGTAGTTGCGCAGTGGTAGAGTTTACAAGTGATGTAGTTTAAAGTTTTTAGGAATATCCGAAAGGAAAGGAAGTATAAGTCCCTTTGACAATCACTGAGTTTTAGCAAAAAAGAAAAAAGATTCTTTTGAGAGAAAAATGCAATTTGTTCCTCAAAGCAGCTTGTCAACTCCATGTAAGTAGTCTCCTTGAATTCTTACCATCCATAACGCATTAAAGCTATTGCAAGATACCTATCTTCTAAGTTGATTCAAGTCTCTTTCAAGATACCCAAAAGTTTATTCAAAACATAGAATTTATAATTTTCCTTCCTTTTGATAGTAGAAAATTTCTTTTGATGGATTTGGTTAAGGTTGGTGTTAGCTAATTCTAATTGTTTGTTTTATTACATAACTAACCTCAAGTTTTTATAAACCAACTGATTCTAACAAAAATAACTTGAAAGAGCAAATGACAAGAACAAATGGTTCTGGAGTGAAACGCCAGCTGGTTAACTGAATAAAATCAAAATAAAGAAATGTTCATTTCAGTTCATCGGAGTTAATATTCAAGAGACACCTTTGTGTTCACAAGAGAGAAAAGTATATTTATCCTGTCAGAAGTTCCATCTCAAGAAGGTTGATTTTTTTTATTGAATCTCTAACTTTGAGGATAAGTGTCACATATCTTAATTTTGCATGTTTGAAGTGGTTCGCATAATGCATTCAGCCGTACACCAACCGTTTTCTATAACAAATTTCATCTGCTTCTCTATGCGAAACTGAGTAACCTACCTACTCAGTAAATCAAAGTCGGAAACATTTTCATAAGTATCAGCAAAGCCATTTTCAAACCGTGGAAAATTTACCTATCAATAAATCAAGTTTTTATGAAGAGGAATGAGAATTTCGTGTTCGACGTCATGACCAAACAACTTGTTTGGTATGGTCATGTCAATAGGATGACGGAAGAGAGGCTGCCAAAAAAGATGCTTGATTGGGTTCCTCCTGGGAGGAGACGTAGGGGACGCCCAGTGAGAGGTTGGCGACAGGGGGTGTTAAATGAGATAAGAGATTGTCAACTCCCTGATGACTTGTGGGAAGACCGAGCTTTGTGGCGATTAGGCGTCGCACAGCGCCAAAGAGCGCTATAAAAGCGACTCATATATATATATGAGAATTTCACTCTCATTTTGGTGATCATGGAAGTTTATTCCATAGAATGTGTTTAAGTATGTATTAAAATACTTGGAGGGAAGGGGTTTAAGTTGTTTAACAGCATAAGGGGGGGGGGGGCTAAAACCTAGTATTTTTAGTAATTCAAATGAAAAAGAAATCAATTTTTTTACGTAGGAGCATCGCCTAGGGTAACCTCGAACTCCAGTGCTTATTGCTTTGCTTCTCGCTCCTAGGAGCGATCAGCGAGGCAATAAGCACTAGAGCTCGAGGTTACCCTAGTATCGCCATACAGGCACTATTTCCTGTGCGCGCCGCTGCGTTTCCGCCGTTTCCGCTTATCAGTGTACTGTTTCCGTTTCCGGTTCGTCGTTGATTTGTAAACAACAACAAACGAACCTAACCTTGAAATTGTTATCCAATCATTATCGTCATTATCAGCGTATGCTAATCATTGAATTCAAACTGGTCCTTTCAACTCCGGAGCAATTATTCATGGTATGGTATTCTCAATTGTTCATTAGCTACTTTTATTTTCGTACCCAAAATGCAGTGATTATCCAGAGAACGAGAACAAATTCACAGTTAGGACCAAGACAGGCTGTCAAATGATGAACCTGTTGCCATTTTCAGACAAGTCTTTACAACACTCCTAATCCACTTATGGCATTTGAATCAGTTACTCCAGTTTACCACAAATTGGCTCTGCTTATGATGTCAATCATTCATTGTTCGTTTGCAGGTGTTCCTTGAGAATTCCTTCAAGTACAATTGATGTAATCTGATGTTCTGGTTCCTGCAGAGATGAGCACTTTCGTATTTGTTTAGTAATCTGTGGACCAAGCAAGTTTTGTGAGAACAATGGCTTCAATTGTGGGCTCAACTCTGAATTTATTTACTTCCTCTATCAACAGTCTCTTCAAGAATCAGCAACCATGGGAAATTGTCGCAATTACTTCGAGCACAATTTTGTTTCTCTCGTGGGCATGGCAAGTTTACGAGATTGAAGAGAGTAAGTACCCTTGAATTTTCTTAATGTCTCTTTGCAGTTTTCGAAATCCAATAACTATGCCTTTTAACCACAATCAAAGCGTGCAAAGAGGGTAAAACTTATTCATAGGAGTTAGTTGTTATGGGAGATTTTGTCAACTCAATTTCCTTCAATCCCGAAGACATACCATCGACAACTTCAAAGCTCCTAGAGTCCAAGCGAAATAAGCTCAAGAACTTCTGAATCATCTGTTGCACTCTTTTAGCATGGAATCTTACTTGGAGTGGACTCTAAACTCACTGCATTCAGAATTATCAAATATTTGTTTCAGCCAATTTTTCCTCATCTCAGATCATATGAATGGCCCAGGAGAGCGAAAGGTTAATACAGTGGAAAACACCTTTTGTTATTCCTCCAATCAATTTTAATTTTTCTTTCTCTGCTCTTTAAGATAAATCAATCATCGCTCTATCTTAGGAAGCTCTTTTCTTTTCTTTTATTTTCTAATATGATGTACTTAATATTTGTAACTAACAGTATTTATTCTATTTCCTAGCCTCATACAGTTTTAAAATTTTCCTTGACAAAACTTTTTTCTCTTCTTACAGGTCTATTTTCAAGGGGCAAGAAGAAATTTTTTAAACTAGCTCGAAAAATTCCCTTTGTTTCGAAAAAACTTGAAACCGAATTAGACAAAATCAGGGAATTATTTCACAAGGATACTGTTGAAAGACTACAGGAAACCAGTTATTGTGTCTCCTTACCAAAGGAAGCCAAAACAGAAACAGAAATTATGGATTCCCTCCAAAAATTTTTGAATCTTGGTAAGTAGGATTTTGACTCTTTGTCCAGATGGACCTATTTTACTAGCGCATGCAAACTTAAAAAAATTGGCAGTACCTAGTTTAAGTTTACTGGAGAAATTTACTGTATAATTGATGATCCACAATCCACGATTTTCATTTACATTTTATACTTTTACATATCGCTCTGAAATATATATTGAAAAGGTTCTTATGAATTAATTTTTTAGTCACAATTTTCGAGTTCTGACTTTTTGAAATTCATTTGTTTGTCCACCCAATTTTTTTGTAACTATGCTATAAATATCCATAATCCTGTCTTTTTTCCAGGTGAATTTGAATGGGAGAAAGGCTTTATTTCGGGTGCAATATACTGTGAAAATAAGGCTCTGAAAAATTTGGTCGGCGAAGTCTACAAATTAACTTCATATACAAATCCTCTCCACCCGGACGTTTTTCCAGGAATATGTTTTATTGAGGCAGACATCATTCGTATGGCTGCTAATCTGTTCCATGGAACTCATGATACTTGTGGCTCGGTAATCCCTTTTGTTTTACTTTTTTTTGTGCAATGAAACTCCGCAGCCTAAGAATGGCATGACCTGAAGTTCCAAGAATACCGACTCAATGAAAAGTAATTTTGTTTTGTCTTGATTCCATGCAGAATAAGTTTACGCACTTTTAAAATGTGTCAAGATTATCTGTGTTTGGTTTAGCATTGAAATGAAGTGTTAAAATGAAGGTGATGAACCCTCTGTCACACTCTCAAAGTGCATTAGCTTATTTAGCATGGAGTCAAATTTGTGAGAGATCGGAAGATAAGATAATATCATTATCAAAGTGAATTTATCATCCAGGTTTATTATTATGAAGAGCGGTGACTGTTGTAGACAGTTACTGGAGGATAAATTTAATTGTTTTTTTTTTATGAGCGATAGCAGAATCTCTGATCCTAAAATTTCGATGAGGCTTAAGAAAAAGTTTTATTCCTGTTATTCCTAAGTTTCTTTCGGTTGGTAACTGCGCGAAGATTGCCATCCAAAGAAGCACATAGAGCTGTTTAGACTGCACCAGTTGATGAACCTTCTGTTGAAAAATTGTTTCTATGAACCAAATTCTCAATTGTTTTTTAAATATTGGCTGTGAATATATTTTTCACGGGGTTTTTACACTGCATACTCTTCAAGGAATGTGTTCACTCCGTTTAGACAGAAAATTTTACTTGTAAAATTTTCTGTCAGTGACTCGCTATGGCTCCTAATTCTGTCGACTACAGTTCGTTTAGTCCTTAGATTCTCAGGCGCTTTTGTCTGTATAAACTACTTTTGGATCTGTTAGATTTCACCTTTACTATTAATTTTAAAAAAAATCAAGCTGAATTCAAGCAGCCTCATGTGAAAATTTATCTTTTGACCTTGTGTTTCAACCTTTCCAGGTAACCTCAGGTGGTACAGAGTCTATTGTCATGGCATGTAAAGCCTACAGGGACTACGCTGAAGCAACAAAAGGTATCACAAACCCTGTTATTCTCTTGCCCACAACAGCGCATCCTGCTTTTGATAAAGGTTGCGCATACTTCAAAGTCTACGCAAAGCATGTAAAAGTTGATCCTGTCACTTTTAAAGTTGATATCCAAGCAATGGAGAAAGCCATCTCTAAAAATACTATTTTGGTTTGTATTTCCTGTTTGTATCTCCCATTTTGTTTTCATGCTGCTCCAGGTGTTTTAGCAAAATCTATTCATAAGAATCTATAAATGAAACAAGTTTTTGCCTATAGCAGAGGTAATGTGTCAGTTGCTCTTGTCACAAAATCGAGTTTTGATAATTTCAGTTCATAGACCAGCATTAAATCTGATCTGTCCAGACATCAAGTTTTTGTCCTTGTTATAAATAAGAGTTAGTTGAAAATTAGTTTCGGCAGCAGCTGGTCTTTGTTAACGTAGGACCAACAAACTACGACAAATGGAGCAAGAATTAAAGAGACAAGATATGAGATAAAGTTTGTCACTGTATCAATCCGAAATTTCTCAGAAATATTGCACAAAATATGAAGAACAAGAGTGGATGAAAAGCGGAAATTCCACACAATGATGCAATTTCATGGTTGACACTTGATGAAAATACACCTGAAGGGCTAAAAAGGTGTTGCGTGTTTACACACGGGTCAAGGATGAAAAGGACCTTCATTTAGGCGCAGCGCACGCTTATGTAGACTTGCTGACGTCATGGGTGGTGAGACAACAAGTCTACGCGTCATTGGCTGCCTATAATCTATGTAGCTATCTATCTAGTATCAAGTCTAGTAATAAAAAGTAATGGAGATGGACTGAATGTTAGGATGTAAAGAAGATTAGAGATCGAAAAATAGACTTTTATAAAATAATAAATGAATAATAGAAAAAAATTGAAAAGTGTTGACAGTCCTACAGTAACGGAAATATCACTCTTTGAAAACCCAGCGCATGGCGTCATCCATCACAGTGTTGGGTCTATGAGTCCTTAATGAGTACGAAAAAACCAAGGTGAGGCGTTTGGAGTCAACATCTACATCAACAGTCAAAAGTTGGTGTTACATAGTAATTTTCCTCTAATACAAAAGCTTGAATAATTTTTTTTACAACAAAAAAGCAAGCATGTGTAGAGGCGAGGAGGGGCATTGACCTCTTGCAGTTGTGTCTCTATGACCCTTTTATGAGGAAGGGTCGAGCAAGCTCTGTATTTTTTACCAGCTGTAAGCTCTGACTGATTTTTATTTTTGATTGAAGTTTAATACACATGAATTTTCATGGTTTTCAGCTTGTTGGATCAGCACCCAACTTTCCGTATGGTACAATGGATGACATTGTTGCCATCGCCGCATTAGGTCGCAAGTACAATATTCCAGTTCATGTTGACTCGTGTTTAGGAGGGTTTTTAACAGCCTTCATGCCGCATGCAGGTTTTGAAGTTGAGCATTGTGATTTTTCTGTGCCCGGCGTTACCAGTATATCAGCAGACACCCATAAGGTATTTTTCATCAGAAACTTAATAGACTCTGTAATCGGTCTATTTTCTCGAGTTTGCTCTGTTAATAAAACCAAATGTAATTCATGTTTTGTCGAAACTTTGCAGAATCTTTGATGGATGATTCTTGCAAAGTTTTTCGCCTCTCTGTAAAAAGATTTTCTGCATAATGGCGTCAGCTTAACTTACATTCATTCTATGAATGTGGGGCTGCCAATACAATGAATCTCGCTGCACCAGTTCTTCAATTTTCTTAAGAATTCTCTCTGTCACAATTTTCTTCAGCATTTGCAGCGAGAATTTTTTAAGTGTGAAGAACTTTTTTCAGATGCTCAATGTTAGAGACCTTCATCATTATCACCTGTCCTCTGACCTTTACCTGCCCTTCATTTGGAGGAATTTTTTGCTTAGCTCACTTGATGGGTTGCTAGTTATGCTATTGGTGAAGAGCAATCACTTCTCCACTTGCTTTTGTAAATTGATTGGCTCCCTCAAAACAGACTCCCATTTACTTTAGGATGTGTCGCCCAAACTACATGTCGATATTTTTTATCGTTCCTGTGATAGTATCAAGTATCCATACCTTTCAGCCATCCTTCATTATATCAATCAATTTAAACTTAGCCAGATAAATTTGCTTAAAAAGTTGGTAGTATTAGTCTATAGTCCAAGGATCGATGGAATTCCTCATTTTCTTGGATTTATAATTAAACCAGTAGTAATTAATTATCTTTGGTACTTTGGTTTTAAATTTTTGATCAGATTAGTAATCTTAATCTCTTTACTATCAGTTTATTTTTACTTACAAATATTTTTTTTTTTGTTATTATAATTTTTGGTAAAAGAATGAAATGACATACCAATAATTTTATCAAATTTGGAGTATCGAGATTTTTGTTTTTGGTGTCTGATTTGGTTCTAATTAAACTTTGTGCTGTAAAACCTTCTTCCAAACTTTCTCTGTACTTTGCGCTGAATTCTTTGATCAATGTTATTGCTTTTCTGTTTTCTGTCGGAGTCTTTAAAGAAAATGGCAAAAATTCTAATTGATGTTTATGTTTTTGCCAACAGTATGGTTTCACTCCCAAAGGATCTTCAGTAATTTTGTATGCACACCCTAAATACCGCCATCATCAGTACTTTGTTGTTGCTGATTGGCCCGGTGGCACCTACGGATCTCCTTCCATGAATGGATCCAGAACAGGAGGTAAAATTGACTTTTTCAAGTGAACTTCTGTCTTTTCTTTTCTTTTTTCCCTCCTCTCTCTCTTATCGAGGTTTCTTTTGTTCTAAGCGTTTTGATTAAATGTTTAATTTTGAACAAATTTGGTAAACACTTGGTGAGACCTGAAGTGTGACCAATCCTCATCAGTGACTTTAAGGAACCTTCAATAGCTTTTGGTGCAACGCCTTTAACTGTTCACCACCTTCGTTATTGGAGGTCCTTCTAATTTTAATTTCTCATCGAGGCCTCAACAGGGTGTCTAGCATCAGGATTTTCTCGATTCTATCAGGTTTTGAAGTCAATCAGGATTTAATCTGATTTCATCAGGATTTGAGGAAAAATTGGTCGTAAAATCAGGATTTGAGAAAAGTCGGCGGCCGCCCGATCGGATTTTACTTTGAAATTGATAAAAATGTAAACAAAAATGCCAGCCATCCTTTTGTAACTATATGCTATTATTTTTCAATTTTTTTTAAATCAGCTTTTGTATTTATTTCATTGTCTTTGTGGCTGAATGGCCAATCGAGTCTGGTTCATTAGCGTTTATTTACATTTTCATTGATTTGCACTTGCTTTTAATCCTTAGAACCTTATTGTAGAGTTCTGCTTTCGCATACGCTTATGCAGAAATTTTAATTTTTCTCCACAAAACATCAGGATTTGGAAAAATTATGAAATCAGGATTTAGCAGTCAAAAACCAGGTTTTCCCAAAATGAAAAAAAATTAGACACCCTGCTCAAGATTAACTCAGTTGAACTTGGCCAAAGCTTATCAAGCAATTAAAACTGTTGGTTTGTTTTTGCAGGGCTCATTGCTGCAGCTTGGGCGACTTTACTCTACTTCGGTTTTGATGGTTATGTGAAAGCGACAAAAGAAATTATTTCAACCACCAGATATATTGAAAAGAGGATCCGTGAAGAATGCGATGATGTATTTATTTTTGGAACTCCTGCTACGTCTGTGATTGCTGTAGGATCAAACAAATTTCATATCTATCGTCTTGTTGAAGGTTTGAAAAAACATGGCTGGAACTTGAACACTCTCCAGTTTCCCTCAGGGTGAGTATTTTTATGAAAATTAACTGATTTCCCTTAATTTTAATTAATAGATTAAATACTCGAAAACAAAGTCACCAAAAAGTTTTAAGCAAAACACAGAAGACAGAATTCCTCGACTTTTTGGCCTCTCAATTTGATGATAGTTGCCGACGCTTGGACCAATGCTTGACCCTTGTCTTGTTGATAAACACAAAATTTGGCATGGAATTTCTTAATCAATGCATTCTCAATTATCAGTTTTGCATAAGTAAATGTTTTTAAATTTTGAAGAAAAATGTGGGGGATTCTTGTAGGGGAATTTGTTAATGCAATGCAATTTTTACATGTTCACATTGACTTGTTTTGAATTTAAGTGGGCTGTATCAAATGTACGTTTCTAATATTTTGATTGTAAATTATTGCTTTTTTAAAATTTCTGACGATAAAACTGGACTTGTTTCTGCTTCTCAGATTTCATCTTTGTGTAACCCATCTTCACACGCAAGAAGGAGTGGCTGATAAATTCATCGATAATATGAAGGAGGAGCTTGTCAAAATAAAAGAAAATCCCAATGTAAAATTAGAGGGCATGGTGAGTACTAGTTCCTTAGTTTTTTGAGATTGAGCACTTCAGTCTCCTTCTATACTTTTTTCACTGAAAATAAGTTTCTAAGGGAAAAAAATGACAAGTGAATTTGAAGAAATGAAAAGTAAATAATTGATGCACATTTCTGTTCACAGGAAAGCAAAACTCAAAACTGAAAAAACTCATGATTGATGTATTGGTACGCTTGTTCCAAAGAGTGTTTTTTAAACTCTGGCACAAAAAAAAAAAAAGCCCTGAAGTGTTGAACTGACCCGGAGTTATTAAAGTTGGCAGCTTAAAAATTAATACGCAGTGTAAAATATGTGAAAATAAGCTATTCTCAACATTTAATCCACTGAATTAGAGGACTCAGTAAAGTATCAGATTTTAATGGAACTTTTCACCCCATCTTTTGGTGTGAAAATGAACTAAATCGCTTTAACGCAGTGTTTCAGAGTATTCTCTTTAGGAACCACAAGTTTCAATCTTTGGACCCTACTTTTAAAAATACGCTCCCCTATAAAATTTGCCTTTGTGAAGTGGGTCCCTTTAGTGGTCACTATGAATGAAAAAAATTATAACTATAATTTTAAAAAATGAAATCAGACTACAGTTAAAGGGATATTTCTGAATAAAAACAAAATCAAACAAAACACATCCTAAAATTAAAAACTCAAAACTTCATTCTACTCTTCACACTGTAAAAGAGAAAAAGTGAAGTTACATTAGTGAAAGTAACACTTTAATAGTGGGACTATGTGACCAGTATGAAAAAGTTTCGCGTTTTTAGACTTCAGCCTATGTTGTTTTTTTCTTCATTTTCCTTTCGGACTTACAATCAACATGAATATCAGCTCTAATAAGGCTCCTTCCGACTGTTCTTTTGTGAGAGGCTGAGATGTTGAAAGTCTTAATTTTTCAATGATCTGTTTTTTGCTTAGTAGTAAATTCTGAGTCTAATTAAACGAATTTAACTGAAAGGAGCCTACCTTCATCAGACATTGCCTAATTGTTTCTCATATTTCATTTTTTAAATAGAGAAAGAAAGCAACACTAAAGCTTGATATTTTGTGAGTATTTTCTTCATAATCTGGTGTAAAATTACAAAAAAATTAAAGGCGCTAAGTAGTTTAGTGCTTTGGTAAAAAAGTAAAACATGAGAGAAAATTAGGCAACAAGAAATGGAGTTATTTTCTGTTAAATATGTCCAATCAATTCTCATGAAATTTAATGTGCGTTTTTTCAAACTTTTCAAATGATCTTTCTCTTTTTTTTTCAGATGGCGATGTACGGGGTATCTCACACTATTCCTGACAGAACTATTGTTGAAGATTTTGCTCGTATTTATTTGGACTATTTGACATTTTTACCACCCGAAGAAACAGACAAAGAAAAAAAGCCTTCTAATGGAGTTTTGAAAGCTGCATGATCCTGCATCAAGCACATACTGAACCGAACAAACTGTATCATACGAATGCAAGGTATTATTATAATATTTTGTGGTCCCTGACCGACGATGCAGTTTATTAGTTGTAGTTTCTTGTGTACCTCATGGAGGATGAACTTTTTTGTCGTAATTTAATATTTATGTGTGATTTATCATTTCGATGTAATTTAGCAAGTGCTCTTGAACAAGGTGCACATTAAATAAAAAACACCAAAGCCAAGTTAGTCCTGTTAGCCAGATACCACGTACGCTATTTAATCAAGACGGTGATGTGATGCTTCATGATAAGCGGTGATAAATCCCTTCGATTTTCCTTTTTGTCAGATGGATAGCTTGCCTTTTCTGGTGATACTTGGTCTTTTAAATTGAAGTTAAGGCCTGTTTAAAATTTTCTTTATTTTTCATCATCTTGCCTGTTATCTAAATGCCATAACACATCATGTTAGATGTAAGCAAACACCAAAATTGTTATTGCCTAAAAATTTTAGAGAGTATGTTGATGGAAGTTCTCGAAAAAATTGATTGGATTGAATAATCTCCAGAACAGGTTTGTCCGGTTGAGTCTTGGTAAGATTTTTTGAACTGTCACTTCGGGCTGTTCCTTAAAGAATTAACTAAGCTTTTTTATGAAAAGCTCTTGAAGGTGTTACTAAATTTTTATTTAGACTTTACTCACTTTACATTATACACTCTGAAACAGATTGAGTTAACTGAGTAGAGACGTCTACTTTGAGATTGCATTATTATAAATTATGCTCTGGCGTCAATGCAATTGAAGCCAATGTATGTTCTGGTATTGATATGCTGTTAGACCTTGATAGTCCCTCTATTAAAATGCAAATTGCCATGCAACTCAAGGTAGGAAGTGCAAAATTACTTGCCAGGTGACGAGTTTCTTGCCGGTTGATCTTTTCCTAGCATTTCCTATGTGATGCAACTATTTTCAATGGGTGTAAGACCCAGGCATTTTTATTTTAAGTATCCTAACTTTATTCTAAAAGGCTTTTGTACATCTTGCCAACTTGCATCATCTTTTCATTTGTGGGCTTATTTTTTTTTCTATTTTGTTACTTTGAATTAAAGCATGAATAAATGTTGGTATTTTTGTTACCCATTAGTGCCTATTCTTCCATCTGCAACTAATATTCATCTGTTCGGTACCAAGACTTATGTATAGTTGGACTTCATTTTGCAATAAGGAACTGCTATAGCTTCAGTTAAACTTCAAATTACTTATTCCTGTAACTACATGGTTACAGGACCTAAAAAGCTCTAAGATTTAAGACCTTAAAAGGACATCGCCAAAAGATTCTATTAATCTTATCAACTGTAGCGGGTGACGTTTAAGTTGGGAGTAAAACTACATTATACAGATAACTTAATTTTATTTTCCTCGTAAGACATAAAATGAAGAATCTAATCACAAGGATGTGTGCTTTCATAAAATAAACAGAAATAATCAATTAAATGTTGGATTTAACCAGTTTCTTCTGGCAATCCATGACTCAAGAGAGAACTGATACACATTTAGAACCACAGATTAGTTCTTGATTAACTCATTAGAAACAAAAACACAAAACAATAAAGATAAATAAAAAAGGAATCAGAAAACATGCAAAAGCATGAACACACCTATGATTCAAGATAATAGCTTGCATTTGACTCACTCTGCTGTGAGAAACTTAAAATGGTAGAGCTACAACATTCTTAATACTGATCAAGTGTTTTACTGTTAAATGAAACCAGTAAAGTTAATTAAAATTGATAAGGGAATAATTTTGATGAATATTGATCATATTGCACAGTCCCTATCGGGGTTTTGTTGAAAAGAGGACAAATTTAGCTTCAAAGAGAAGAAATGTTAAAATCATAAAAATTGTGATGACTTTTCATGAACAACTAAGATATATAAAAAAAAAAAAAACAAATTTGGTGATAAGTTGAGTAAAAGTGAGCTCATTGCTTGTGTGAGAAATTAAGCACACTCCAGCTCTAGTACATTTCAACTGATATTAGACCTGCTTATCAATGTTCTGAGACCAGAGAGGGTATAATTCAGTTATTTTGTAACACTTATCAGAAAACAACAGAAGTTCACTTTCATTGTTTTACCACCCAGAGCAAGAACACGTCAACTCTTTGATATTCATCAAGTTTTTCTCCGAAAAAATGTTTAATAGCAAGAGAACTAACCTGTAGTTTTTCATTCTTTCAGAATGACATCATTAAGAATTCATACTGAAAAAATAAATGATGTAGATGACCAGGAAGTTTCAAAGTAGCACATTTTCTTTTTCTTTCTTCTTCTAAGAGAGAGAGAAAAAAGTAAAATATGGAACAAAGAACATGGAACAATGTCCTTGCTTTGGGCGGCATACTGTAAAACACTACCCCAACATTTTCTTTTCCCTACATAGTAATGAGAGGACAAGAATGGAAACTTCATTAATATTTTGACTGTTAAATTTTACTATCATAACATTATTTGAGAATTTCCACAACAGGAACATGCTCAGATAGAACTCGCCCAGAATGAGTTAGCAGGAGTTTACTTCCTGCTTGCGAGCGACTGCACTGCCATCATCTGATACCCAGCAAGGATTGACCGCAGGCTACCAGGCCAGGCGCAGGCCTGCCACAGTGTGCAGAAACATAAATCCGTCTACCGTGCATGACAGTAAAAAGTAAACACCTACTGATTTATCTGAGACGAGTTCTAGGAGAACGGTTCAAGTGCAGCAGAAAATTACATGCTACTACATTGAGATTATTGAGCAACATTACAGATGTGGGAAGATTACTTAGGGAACTTCTGTGAGAGATAAAGGACTCTTGGGAAAAAATAGAATCAAGTACAATGCTTAGTATTTTCTCACTAGTGAGCTGATTATTGAACCTCAATCATCAGTTTATCTAGTGATCCCAATCGATAAAAAGCGTTTTGAGAAAGGGCATAGATCTAGGTCACTTACTGAAAGGGCAATGTGATTCCATAATCAACACGCTGACCATCCCTGATGTAAAAATGACAACAATGATCATCTAGATGATTGGTAAGTTAAAATGGCAAAAACTTATGAAAACTTTACATGCGTTGTCGTATGATTCAGAAATACAGCCGAGCAAGCATACATTTTTTACTGCTCACTTTGTTTGAGCCCTTTTCACAGGGATTTGGGAAACTAAATAAAAAATAAATTAAAAAAAAAAGGTCAAACAATAAAAATTCATCAGAAACATTGGACTGCGTAAACAAAATGATTGCCTTTGTACAAAAAACGAAAATAAAAAAATTAGGGCCCTACAGTAATTAATCTTTCTCCAATTTGTGTTTTCATTCAGATTAATTAAAAATCCCCACTAGAAGTTTCTTCACACTCACCCTTTCATCATTTTCTTTAACTCTTTTTAGACAGTAATAAATGCAGTCTAGTTTTTTCCTTTCCTTTATTTACAAAGAATTTAGAAAACACATGAATCAAAATTACAATATTTTACAGAATAAAATAATGACTAAATTAAAAGAACTATACATTTACAAGGAGTGAGCTGACTCCAAAATTATTTGAAGAGAAGGGGGGCAAAAAAGAATGGGAAATTGACCTACTTGATTAGTCGATTCTCAAAATCATAATTAATTGTAGTGTGATTGCAAAACCAGAGACAAACTTTCGTAGACTTTTTGCCAATCTGGACTAAATATCACATTAGTTAAAATAGTCTTATTACATGCACTAAAATACATCATCTTAAACCGTCTAATGTTTTATTACAACAAAATAGCTCATTTGCTTTGACATTCATTAAAAATGACATTAATTTAAAGATAAGTCATTCTAGAAAAAAAAATTCAAATAAATTAATAAAAATCATTTAGAAGATTTTAGAAAATCCTATGTTCTTAAGAAACTTGACTTTTGAATCATTCTTCAAAATAAAATCAACAGCCTGAAAAAGAACAAGAGCAGAAAGGATTAAAAGATGTTTTTATTTTCAAAGTAAAAGAGAACAACAACTCAGACTTGAGGAGAAAAGGTGTTGAAAAAGTTGTAATGAAAATAAAACTTTTTTGTCATGCTCAGAACGCAAAGAAGATTCGCCTACAATGCTTGATTTGATATTTTTCAAAGAAAAATTTTTAAGTTACACTGAAATTTTAACTTGCATTAATATATCAGTGGCTTAGAGCAGACAGGACGTTGAGGTACGTTCAACAGGACAAGATTTTTGCTCTTTAGAAATCAAAAATTTCTATAATAAATGAAAAAATTCGGTCCTTCAATAATGAATTTTAGACTAGAGTCCCTTGAGGCATGGTGTCTAGAATTTTTGACCAGGCTCATTCCCTGATTTTTAGAAACTCATTCCCTGATTTTTTGAAGCTCATTCCCTGATGAGAGACCGAAGTTTTCTCCCACTTCCTCGCGATTTTCTGGCAGAAAAGAATATGATTCTGCAGAGTTCCATACATGAATATCGATTATAATTCATCTTTCAGCCATTTCTTTGGCGCACATTCAAAATTTCAATTCCAATGGCGTTCCTAATGTTTACATTATCTGGTCAATGAAAGTTTCTCCACTCTTTTGATGATTTGAAGCTTCAAATGTGTCATTCAAGAAGTCAATAATAGCAGTCAGTCTGATTAGACTGCCAAATTTGAAAACGAAATGATCCCTCACAGGTAGAAGAAGAGATTCCCGCTTTCTGGAACAGATTCCCTGATTTTTCTCTGATTTATCCTGTAAATTATCATTTCCTGATGAATCCCGGTTTTTCCTGTTCTAGACACCATGCTTGAGGAGCGCTTACGGGTAAAATTTGGTTGTTTTCAAAATCCTTCAAAGTGGTGTTATTTTATATCATATAGAACACCTGGCGTTATGATACTTTTCATTCAAGAATGGACCTTACCCCAACTAGGGGTGAATTCTTTCATCCACTTAAGTTGAACTGATAGAAAACTTAACATACAACTTAGTAATAATAAAAATGATTACCTTTATTCAAGTCCCATCAGTATCAACTTCTGGTGGCTTTTGATCTGTAACAGACAATGAAATCAATTGAAATTTACCATTATTGCTTTTATTATCAGTGAGCAGTTAAGTTGTTAAAGCACATAAATAAGACCACATTCTTTGAATAGGAACATGCTTATTTTCTGATGAGCATTGGAGTCCAATAAATTACGTTCTTATATTTCAGGAGGAACCAATTGAATTTTTTGGAAAACTTTGAACGAAAGGGTTTTGAAAACTTTTCATTTTAGCAGAATTCCTATCATGTATTTCATATTAGGAAACCTTAGGATTTAGTATCTAAGAATATAGCCTTGGCATTGTAAGAGGAATGATCAATCGGATAACTTACATAGTATACAAAGTATTTGATATTGTTCTTCGAAAATATTTCCTACCCTGAGTACACACCAACCGATAAATCATTTTTCTCACAATCTTTAATATACGTTTTTAAAAAAAAGGTGAGTCCTAAGATTTCCGAACATGAAAAATATGCAGAGATGTGCATAACCATAAAAAACAGCAGCTCAGGTTCAATAAAGAAACCCATGGACGACTTCAGTTTAAATGTAGTTGAGATTCAACACTAATTCCAAACAACAAAAATCTTGATTTCATCAATTTTTGTTGGCCTTCTGGAGTGTAGTGGTTGTAGCTCTTGCTCTATGATAGAGAGGTCGTGGGTTCAATTTCCGGCCAGGTGATCCAAGTTTGATGGTCTCAAACATCAGTTATCTGGGGCTGGCTTGATTAGGGACGAAGGAAGAATGGGACTCTAGGGACAGCAAAGCGCACAATTATCCTTCGTGGGATATTTGAAGTGGAAAAAAAAAACCTTAGATTGATGAGGGTGACACACTCCATCCAATGAGCATAAAAAATTAAAGGAAATAATGATAGTAAGAAAATTTTAAAAACAAATGAGACCTCCGATTGGCCGTTCTTTCATTTTTACCTTTTGCTAAGATTGCTGGTGTTATTGGTGGTTGTTTCTGCACCTCCTTTTTTCTTGGAAGTTTTGGCTTGGAACTTCCTAACATAAGCTTCGATCAGCATTTGAATTTTTTGTGGGTTGATTTCTCCTGATCTATTGTGACAAATCTAAAAAGCAGAATAAGAAGAAAAAATTATAAAGGGCATATTAAATACGAGTCAAGTTATGTAATGCTAATTTCCTAATTTTCATACTGAAATTAATAATAAAAATTAACAAGAACATTCTGAGACCATGTTCTCCTTGTTAAGTACATACTTTCATATTCAAAGAGTTCAAAGACAAGTCAACTACAGATGACTTATCATTTTAGGAAAAAAAAGAAGAAAAAAACACCAAGAAATGTGGCTGGAATTGCATGAAAAAAGGGGAGTAATAGAGCACAAATAGACTCTAATTGAAATTTTTGGCCTTGCTTTACCCACAAAACGGTATGGACTCAGCACCATTTTTACTAACTTCTTATAATTTTCTTTACTTTCAACTTCTTAAGAACATTATTAATTTCCTCCGTGCTGCTGAGTCAAAAGAGTGTTGTCTGTGGGTTCTCTCTTTGAACTGATTGTGGAGTACCGTTTACATATGTAACCGATGGAAAGCGCGGACGGGAACTAGCACAGCAACTTCCAGAGTAAGTCATGGTTCAGAGTGTACAAATTTTGCCATCTTCTTGCGCATTTTCCTGACTTGGCAGGAATGATTACGCAAAAACATAGCAGGGAACATGTTGAAGAGTGGAAGCTAAGTTCTTAGGTAAAAAGTAGATAGAATTCTCTACTTGAAGCAGTGAATCACAACAGACTGATTTACAGAAAGACATGATTTTCTATAGTTCATAGGTGTAACAACTAACTGAATTTGTGTATAGTTTTAACAGATAATGAACTTGGGTTCAGTTCATTGAACTTGAGTGTATGTATTTCCACTACTTAATGATTAAACTAGAAGTGATGCAGAAAAATATAAACGAGTGAAATGAGCTCTTAGAATTGTGAAGATGAAAATCTCCAGCCTCCAAGAAAGGCTAGATGGAAAACAAACCTTAGGTACGGCGCGTCGAAGAATTTCTTTGTAATCCTCTTTTGCTATGTGTTTCTTGGCATAGTGAGGTTTCAGTACTAATTTTACTTCTTCAACCACTCGTTCTTGACGATTCAATTTCTTAAGATACTGAAACAGATCAGGAATACAATTTAATTTTGGTTCCCCCACTTGCCTCTAACGTTAACTAACTTGATTATATTATGATGTGATATTTAGTGATCATTTTCAATCCTTACCAAAGTAGGTATAAAAAGATTTTCAGACCAACACCAGGGATAATGAAGATTGTGGCAACGTTCAAAGAGATCTAGCTCCTTTATTTTCAAGGCAAAATTTCTGACTCTTCTTACTTTCTCAAAGAAACAAACAAGTAAAAAAAACTTAATTCTTTCTGATGATGTGTTTGCTGAGGTCCACATTTTTAGTTCAAGATTGTGACTTGAATACATAGCCTCCCAGAGTTTAAAAGCTTTGTTGGGCTCATTCCCAAAGCCATTGATCATTTCTAGCCAGAAAGGTGGACGAGAAGTTTCCTTAGATCTCTTGTCGGAATCACCAGGAACAAAAAATTATTGTTTAAGCAGAGGAGAGACTAAACATTCCCAACACCTAAGAAATTTAAGGGCTAAAAATTATGATCAAATGTAATTCTATCATGCAAATAAACTTAAATAAGCAAAGGATGAACCCAGGAGGAATTTAAGAATTAGGCTGGGAGCATTTTGGAAAAAGCTTCTGTTACTGCACGCCTAAAGCTTAAAACCTCTGTCTCACACTGTTCTCCTGCTTTTAAAACGCAATTGAACGATGAAACAACGCAAAAGAGATGGTCAAAAATAAGAGTGTAAAAAGGTCAAAATGAAGGAGGAACTAGCAGTGGATTGAATTTCCTTTCACATTAAAGAAAAAAGTTTTGTCATATGTTCAAGATGTGACAAACAAAGAAGGAAAATGGTGTAATCATACTAAGGGTAGATTGGACAAAACCTTGCTTGAAAGAACAAATGCAGATAATATGATAAAGGAAAGACGGTTGATCCCTCGTGGCTATTTTTATGGATCTTTTTCAAACTATTAGACAGGCTTGGAAAACGATCTCAATAACGCTAAAATGTCAGCGCATCAGCGGATGTATGAGTAAGAAAAATTTCAGGAAGCAGGAAGAGTCGATTCTAATGTAACAAACTTAGTGCACATTGGACAGAGATAAACTGTGAAATTTCAACCGCAACTCCAGGGACACAAGATTCTGTGGACTCATTAAAAAATCAGAAGTTGGTGCATTAAACGGAACTTGAAATCCTGAACCTCAGACTCCTCCATCTCATTCACTTCAACTTGAAACTTTGAGCAGGCTATAGCAGCACTTGATACTTGAGTAGAGTCGATTACAGAAGCTGCATCAGTATGTGAAAAATTTCCAACAATTTTTCATCTTATAGCATACCTACATGAAACTCACTTCTTTTGTCTTAAAGCTAACATCCATCCAATATTTAGGACCGGCTCAGGAGGTAAAAAAAGTATGCACTTGCATCAGGCGACAACTACAGGGGCCCTAAGATTCCTATCCGCCTCACCCATCTCTCCCTAATGATAATTTTACTGCTAGCATAGGTGAAAATTCACAATCACAACAGCTCTGCCGATAGCCAGCCCTAAATTTCTTTTTACCAGCGAAAAAACTTTAAGCCTGGACCCTTGAGACTGGGATTAGAGCTGCAAAAGATTGGCAACTAGTGCGATAAGTAAAGAAGAGGGAAATGAGGGCAGGAAACAATTCGTATTCAAGCTGAAAAATTAAGTCAACGAAATAGGAAATTTTCATTGTCGCCATACTATTTTAGATAAAGATAAACAATTAAATTTTGAGAGAGGTCGAGAGGAGATGATTTTCAGAAATTCATACTACCGTTTAAACGGATGAATTTAGAAGTTTCTGAGACACTAGAAAGAGGAAGCCACTACAAAATAAGCGGCCAAAAAACTACCCGTTGACCTATCTGCACCATTTGGCCAAAAGAAAGTACTCGTAGCGGTGAAATAATTTACTTTTGAGCAATACAGAAAGAAAGAGGAAAAGAAGGAGTAGACGACCAAGTGAATTAAGTAAGCGTTTTTTACTGAGTAATTGGGTTAACAAATGAAAAAAATAAAAACCTAGTTTCCGAAACGAATATAGGGAGACATTATGAGTGAGAGGAAAGAGCAAGAAAATAGAATTGTGTTAATGCTGGATTATCTTAAAACCAATCCTGTGTATGGCAAATAAACTGATTTTGTGCTTGGTTAATTTCCTGATCCAGTCAAAGACTCATCAGAAACAAAATAAAAACGGATAAAGCTCCAATAAGCAATTGATATGAACCCGGAAGAATTTCATACACATAAATGAGAAAAATACAGATATTTAGAGGCTTCAGCTGCAAGTACCTTCGGAAAGGGCTCCTGTTGATTGGAAGACTCGATTAATTATTGAGAAACAACGCATCAATGAAAGCTTCACATTTTCTTTTCATAGGTTAGAGGGAAAGTAGAATGATTTTGGAAGCTTACCATTTTAACGCATAGAATGCTGGATGAAAGGAGAAGAAAGATAAAAGATTATAAGATGAATAGCGAAGATTTAAGAAGATATTTCATGCATCGTTCAATTGAGTTTCATGCTAATACTAGGGAAAGTACCTTATCTTTAACCTGCATTTCCACTGCTGAGCTTGGGAGATCATCCAATATTTTCAACTGATCTTCGTCCATTTTCACACCAACCTCTTTCTTACTTCCTGAAGGCAGAGTCAAACACATAGAGTTAAATACTTTAGAGAAAATTAGTTTTAAATAATTTTGTGTTTAAACAAATTAGTTAAACCCTTACAGATTAAGAAAAGTTTAAATGATTAAGTTTAAGTGACTTCAACATTGGAGGGCCCAACAGTTGGAGTTTCAGAGCTTCTTGCACCCTTGGCTGTTCCTGTCAACTTGCGAAGACAGATTTTTTAATCGTCTCAGCGGAAAATGACTGAATTATTGAAAATTAGTTGGCTACATTGTAGCATAAGGTAATAATTGAACAATATATATATATCCATCAACTGTTTTCGACCAGATTAATAAGACTATTACTTGAAATAAATGGTGTCCTATCAGATTTTCAGGTTTACTTGCATACACAAAATATACAAGCGTAAATGTTTTCAATTGAGACAGAACTATAGTAAGCAAAAATAATTGAAGGATGGACTGTGGCTTGAACAAATTTCTGGGCCAGAGTACATTTACGCTCGATTATGGGCTTAAAATAAATTAAGTATACTTTAAAGAAAATGAGGAGAAAAGCTCGGTTATCTTACCTTTCATTTGTTTTTGAGCTTTAGTTCCTTTGATCGATGGGATGATAGGCTTGGGTGTGTACGGGACGGGCTTCAACTGTTTGGTGTTGGTTTTCCGTGTTAAAGAGCCAAAAAGGGCATCAAATTTACTCTTGTTAGCTTTAGTGAGAGATGATCTGATGATTGGAGGCATGGGCAACTTATTGGCAGTTCTTGGAGGTGATATTGGAGGAGGCTCAAAGAGATCCTCGGCTTCAAATGGTTCAGGAGAATATGGGGAATCCCCTGAAATATCCATTGGAGCTTCATCCATTTTCTCACCATTCAAAGTTATAGAAGGAGTGTAGACGGGAATTTTATTGGCACTAGCAGGAGCAGGAGCTCGAGAGACACTTAAGATACTCTGTTTGGATGGTGTTATCGGCTTTGGAGTCAATTGAGTACTTCTTGGAGTTCCCGCAATAGGTTCTGGTGATTTATAAGTAGTTAAATCTATTTTAGCTTGACCCAATATTTTCATCACGACTCCATCATTTGAATCATTGACGCCACTGACATTGGGAGATGATTGCTTCGGAGATTCTAAAATGGGAATAGTATCTTTTTGTAGAGAGCGAAGATTATCCGGTGTCTTCTTGTTTTCATCTGGGACTTGGGGCGATGTTTTGTTCCTAGAATCTAAATCATTGGATTCTAGGACATTAGGAGACAGAGTATCGTGGGCTTTGTTCCCGTCTCGAAGATTGACAGGCGTGGATGTCTGTTCGCCTAATTCTGGACTGGGGGAACGAGACTTGGTTGGATCGAATGGATCATAAGGTGTTGTTGGAGGTGATGCAGGCGTATTGGTATCTGGAGGTGGTTCCGGAGGTGTATTAGGACCTTTTGAGAAGATTTCGTTCATTTCTGCTTCGTTGTTTGCTTCCTCCATTTGTTCCTCTTCCTCATCACCATCCATGAGCGGATTAATCATGGTTCTCATTTGAGGTTGCTTCGATGAAATAGAGAAAGCAACTCTAGGTTCCGGTGGCGTTTTGGGGCCTCCTGCACTTGTGTTCATGAAGTCATTAATAGGTGATTCCGGCTGAGAGACAGATGTTGGAGGACCAAGATCTCGATCTCTGTTTCGATCACGGTCGCGATCACGATCACGGTCACGATCCCTATCTCTTTCTCTGCCGCTCCCACTTTTACGTGATACTTTTCGATTAGACGTGGGTGCTTCTTTTTCAATTTGTTCAGCTTCTAGGTCACTATCTGTAACTACAATGACTTCTTTCGGTGAAGGAGTTTCTTCTCTGAACGGTGACATGTTCAAATCTATAACAGCAATAGGCTTGGCATTTTTTGCTGCTTCATTGACTGCCACTGCTCGAGCAGATCTGCTTTTCTTTGGTGTCGAGTTCTTTGACTTCTTCTCTTTGTTTTTGGTTTCTTTGGATTTTTTGGCGGGAGGTTCAGCCTCGACTGATCTCCTCCTGGCTGTTGAATATTCGTTGGTATGGAGCAAAGATCCCATTGTTCCATCATTTTTATTGTTTGAGAAATTGACACTTACAAGAATATTATCACCGGATGTGAATACTTCCTTGGACGGAGCTGGAGAGCGATCTCGCTTCTTCCTCCTTTTCTCATTCTCTTTATTCTTTTTGCTCAGGCGTTTCTTGCCTTTCTTCTTGGCATTGGCATCCTCATTGGGAACAATAACAGTGATGTTCTTTGGGGGTCGGTTCTTTTCCCTGTTATAGACAAGAGCTCTATTTTCAGGCGACCACGACGGTGAAGGAGAGAGAGAGTAAGACCTCGAATATCCAGGAGATGGAGAGTAAGAATAAGATGACCATGAAGGTGAGAAGGAGTACCGGGAATTAGATCTTCGTTTCCTTGCGGGGCTATACTCTGGAGAATAGCTTCTATTCCGCCTTCTCTCGACTGACTTCTTCTTCTTCCTGGAAACTCTACCTTTAGATAAACTACGTCGTAATCTATCTCTAGAGCTGGCTCTCTTTTTCCTCAATCTATCTCTGCTCCGACCTCTGGATTTGCTACGACTTCGATCATACGACCTCCTTAACGTTCGGTTCTTGGAACGACTACGTTTCCTTCCTAATCGCCTTCTAGATCTGCTTCTAGACCTAGATCTTGATCTGGAGCGGGCAGCTCTGGATCTTACAGGTGACCGGTAGGGTGAACGGCTGGTACTCCTAGATTTACCTTTTCCTTTTCGATTGCGGCTGCGAGATCTGGACCGAGACATTGATCGGTTTAAGGAAAGGTCTCGTCCGAAGTCATCTTTCCCTATAAGTCTTACTTTTTCGCCGAGGACTTTGCGCACATTGTAGCGTTCCAACTCTTTTCGCTTTTCTTTTTTCTTTTCTCTCTCTTTCGGAGTTGAGCGTTCTGGGGATTTCCTTCCTTTGTCATTAGTGGGTTTTCCTTTGCCATCTCTGTAATTCCTGTCCTTCGTACTTTTGGATAATTTCTTCCAATTAACATCTGCTGCTGACTGAGATGGACTCCCCTCTTTATTTTCCTCGGAGCTCTTATTTTCAGAGCTCTGTAGCACCGAGTCTTTATCTTTAGATTTTCCATCTTTGGATTTCTTTTGCTTTTTATCTTTCTCCTTATCTTTTTCATGATCACTTTTTGATCTATCGAGATTTTCTTTTGCTTCTTTATCTTTAGCTTTCTTCTTTTTATCTTTTTTAGAGGAGGACTTGGGCTTGTCATCAACGATTTCACCTTCTTCGAAATCAGCCGAATTCCTCTTTTCTTTAGATTTAGAAACATTCGCGTCTTCATTTTCACTTGCACTTTGTTCTTTTTCTTTCTGTACCTTCTTTTTCTTCTTCCTTCTCTTTCCTCCATCATATTCAGACTCCTTATCTGCAGAATAATTTGATTCATCAAATGCATTGCCATCTGAATCTGAAATTGGATCTGTTTGCAATCCCTCCAGTCCAGGTAGAGTTGGACATGACTGTTCCGACTCTTTATTCCCATCCACAATACTTGCTTCATCTTCAGAAATCGCTTCGGTATTTAGACTGTCTAATTTGTTGGAAGGTTCTTCTCTCGAATGATCATACTCACTCATTTCTTCATCGGTGATGTCAACTAGGCCATCGGATTTTTGTGCGTTGCTTTTACTAGGAGTAGAGCTCTTAATGTCATCCTGTTCATCAGGAATAGAAGTGGCATCTTGCAAATTGGCCTCAGCTTCAATATCTAATATGTCACCTTGAATACTCGATTCATCTTCACCATCATATAGTTTCTCTTTACCTTCATTACTTAAAATTGCCATTTTGCTTGAATCACTCTTATCATCGGGCAGTTTGGAAACATCAGAATTGTCGAGCGATGAAACTGTCTCTTGGTTATCATCTATAGTTTGTTCATCAACTTGGGGTCTTATAGAGTCCATGGAAGATTCAGACACAATTTTACTTTCGACTTCATCTTGTGTGTCACCCTCAGTTTCATCACCTCCTTCTTTTTCAGGAGCCTTACTTTCTGAAACGTCATCAAAATTACTTTGCTCATCATTATCATCTAATTCAACATTTACTTCTACTATTTTTTCCTCCTCGTTTTCCTTTTCTTCTTCTTCTTTTTCCTCAGGTTTCTTTTCACCATTTACATTTTCAAAAGCATCATCATTCATCTCGTCTACCTTCTCTGCCTCTGCAAGTTTCTTTTTGGATTTCTTTGAGGCTTTTTTCTTCCTCTTGGGTATTATAATTTTCACCTTTTCTTCTGAATCATCACTGTCAGTATTATCCTCCGATGAGTAATTACCAAGCCTTTCTTTAAGTATGGTTTCTTCCAGAGTGGGTACTGAATACATGAGTGGTTTCTTCTTCTTCTTCTTTTTCTTTTCCTTTGTGCTTTTCTCAGTTTTAGAACCACTATTAGGGACAGGAATATTTGCAACTGTGGGTGAGCCAGGTACGGGAATATCCAAATTTGGCGGACCAGGCATCGGTATGTCCAAGTTGGGTTGAGTAGGAATTGGGATGTCCAGATTGGATTGGGCAGGAATTGGAATATCCAGGACAGAGGAGGATTTTTTGACCAGATTCATTGAAGCTGACGAGTAGAGAGAAAAGTTGGGACATTCTTCATCATCATCTCCCTGAATTTCTTTGGACAATAATTCAGAAGGAAATGGAGGAGGCTCCATGATTTTGAGCGCATCCGGAATAGGAGGAGGTTCCATCATCTTCGGCACACCATCATAAGATGATCCGTTTCCGATTTTGTCATCATGTTGCGCGACGATATCATTGTATGTTGGAGAATGTAAGTATCCACTTGACGGCTTCGTTAAATTCATGGCTTCGACAGGTTCATCGTTCCTTGAATCAGCTGGTGGAGAGAAAAAAGAGATGTTGATTAGAAAAAGTGGTGGACACACTTGAGAAGAAATTGAGAGAGGTTCAATTATTGTACAGGTGTATGTAATACGCAGGCAAATGGAAGTTTAAAGGCATTTAGAAACATTATAGAACCAAAATATTTCTGGATGAATTGATTTTTAAAATTATTTGGATTAAAACAATGATCGAAATTCCAATGCAGGCTTCTTCATAACTGATAATAAAACGATTAGACTGTATGCATGCGGACATGTACACAGGATGTTCCAGAAGTATGCACCACCCTAAAAGCTCTCTGAGCTTTGGGGGCTCATCAGGACATCTTTTCTGGTCATTTTTAATTTGACCAGCAGTCATTATGAGTTTGTCTAAAATCTCACAAGTATGTACAAAAAAAGTTCTCGTTCCTTGCCTTTTTCAGATGTGCCACAAAATACAGGTCACCATTTGAAAAAATAAAAAAAGTTAGAATACTTGCCTCATAGGAGCCCCTTGAAAATTTAGGAAGCCTAAAAAGTGGCTTCCTTTGACCCAGAAGCACCTCCAAATTCAACAAGACATCTCCATTAGTGAGAAGTTAACGAAAGGAATCACCCATTATCTAATTTAAATTTGTAAACTTAAAAAAGCTTTGCATGCAGTATTGATCAAAATTTTACAGGGAACCTAAGCTGATTTAATGGATCAGAAATTAAAATTATTAATGAAGATTCACAACTAGACTGGTTTGCTTCTTTGCAGATTTATCATACTTTCAGACAGAATAAGTAAGTTCAGATGGGTGGAGGAAATATGAAACACTTACAGGCATCATTGGAGTCATCACAAGGCTCGGCAGGATCATATACATCTGCTCCTTTATCATCAATAACTAGAGCTTCTTCCTCATCCGTGCCTTCATCACCAAGTCCCATTAGCAGGGCTGGTGGCTCGGGAGGAGGCTCCAACGTCCCAAAATTTTTATCTTCATCAACATCTTCATGTGGATCATGTTCAATATCACTGTACAGGTCGACATCTTCATCTTCTTTTGTAGGAGAATCTGACTGAGGAGAGGAAGAGGCTTGAGAAGCCGCTGATGGCACTTTATCTTGCACCTTCTTCGGATTCATGCGGGGGGTCGTCCCAAGTCGAAACCTTATTGGAGCACCACCTCGGAATGGAGACAAATCAACTGAAGAAACATTGCTCAGTAAACTAGAAAAACCAGGTCGTGGACCTCTAAATCCAGGACCAGAATTATTCATGTTTGAGGAGTAGTTAGGCTGAGAGCCAGCGCCAGAGTTAGAGTCACCAGTGGGAAACCGATAAGTTCCTTGCATTTTATTTCCGCCTCCTCCCGGATACATTGGCGCCTGTTTTACAGCACTATCACATTGTGAAACATCTACTTTTTTATCTTCTTTTATTTGACTAGGATTCCATTTAGTATGGTCATTTATTTTTTTATTGGAGTCGATTATAACTTTAAGGGAGTTATCATTTTCTTCAGAAATTTCAGGTTTACATGAGGGTAAAAGAATGTCAAGTGAGGATAAGAGATTATCCACAATTTCTTCATTCTGCAGTCTCTGAGATTTTTCAAAAATAATTTCCAGACGTGAACATGGCCTTGGAGCGATAGCTGCAAACTTCTGCGACAGTAATGAGGTCCTCGAGCGGGAAAATCTCACCGGTCGTGAAAGCATCGACACACCATCACCATCTGATGTGTCATCTTCAATTTCGTTTTCTATCCTTTCACTCAACCTAATGGACAAAAGAATTTGAGATTGTGAGGGATGCAATTCCAAACTAAGTGTTGAGTTTAACTATGATGTAGAGCAAGTAAGATTACTGAAAACTATTCATGAATTCATGCGACAAGATACAGTCAATTCTTGGATTGGATAAGTCTTGGACAGGGTGTGTACAGACTTAGAAGAAACTTATTATTAGGGTTTTCTAGGTTTTCCCCTGCCAAGACGATTAATGTTCCTTGACTTTTCACATTGGCAGTTTGCGTAACACTGAAAATGAGCAATTTTTGTCATTAATTTTGCAGCAAATGAATTGTTATGAGTTGGGGGTGCTTGTGCAACAAGATAGAAAAAGCTTGTTGATAAGTTTCATTTAAGGAGACATCATGCAAGATGCAATGCAACATACCAGTCAAATAAGTATGTGGACGAATTTGTGGAAAAACTGCGGAAAATAACTTACTCTGAGGGAAAATAATTTATTCCGATTCTTGATTCTTGAGAGGGAAAATTTCTTCGCCTGAGGTTCAAATTGGCCACAAGTGAACTGAAGAATTCCATGGACTCAGCTTTTTTGTGGGCTGCATCATGAGAGCGACGAAGTAGTGCATTTTCTTCTGTAGGTGCTTCAATTCGTTCTTTTTTAGGTGGGGGAGTGTCAACCTGAAACACAAAATCAAAATTTCGAATGTTAGACTGTAACAGCTTGCCAAGCAGTATATTTTCGGTGGGGGAAGAGTTACAACCGATCAGTGGCACTCAATTTTTTTGATTTATTTTCTGAAAGTAGAGAGTGAACTAAGCATCTCGAAAATTATCAAGATTTAATTTTAGCCCTAAAAGACAAAGACATCCCATTTTGAAAATGCCAAAAATGGGACTCGTTTAAAATGATATAATTGACAGGCTCTAATGCCGTAGCCAGGCGGGGGGGACTGCGTTTGTTATTTGGCTATACTCAGCTTAAGACATTGTCTAGCTACATCAACTAGAATGTCGGTTTTTGATTGCTCAGTTTTTTCTCCCTTTAAAAATTGATGTTATAAACTTTTTCATGAACTTTATGGTTTTTCAACGAAATTTTATGAAAGAAAAACTGTGCAACAACTCTGCAAAAATTCTTGGCTAGGGTCCCATTCCACTTCACCATACATAAACAAATCTACCTCTTCATGCAACATTTCTAAGCTATCTTGCATCTTACATTTGATAATTTGACATCTCGCCTGGCTTGTTTGCAAGGGAACACGCCTGGATTAAAGTTTATTTTAATAGACACAGAATCAATTTGAATTTGATAAAATAAAAATGAGACCACTGAAATTGCTGAACTGTGAAAGGCTTGCTAAAAATAAGCTTTTTGACAGAATTTGGCACCTATCTCGGAAGACATTTTCAGAACAAAATTCAAATTCGCATTCAGCGTCACAAGAGACTTCCTTCCTTGAGGGTTTTGTAAGCATTGCAGGTCTTAATTTCTATAGGATGGATTGATGCTGACTTGTCGCGCACACAAAAATAGCTGCAACTCGTAAATGAATAAAATCTTGAAAGTAATATGATGGTACCTTCAGAATTTCATGGAAAATCTCCTTAACTGGTTTCTGTTCCAACCCCCATGACTACAACTGGGGAAGAATACAGAAAATGGGAAAGAGTCCATCCGGCAAAATTCAATTATGACTTTAATGCATTATGCAACAGCAAAAAACAGCAGTAGATTTGTTTTTAAAGTAAAATTGGCCATTGAAACAGACACAAAATAGAGTTGGCAAATCACCAAAATTGGGATATGAAATGCATTTCGATCCATGGTTCCAAAACTTGAAACACAAGAACTTACTACTTTCACTCCAAAGGAACTTTTTCAAGAAAAATTAACACCTGAGTTTCACAAGGGTTCTACTTTGTTGGTCAGAACATTAAAATGAATTTGACACCTGCTTGGACTAGAGCAGAATCTGATTTTTTCGGCTGATGAAATGGTAGAATTCACAGATAAGGGCAACACTTCATTTTTAATCATGAGTGAATTTTTGAACTTATCAAGGTGCCTACTGCAAACGCTGTGAAATTTTGCTGAGAGAATATCACTTGTAGAACTTGAGTTCTTACTCTGTCTTATAGTTAATTATGAACGAACAAGTGCTCAGAAAGATTATCATCATAAGACAATATGAGACGGAAAATAAACTTTCATCATTGCAAATTATGATTATGAATTTGAATTATAAGGCGTTGTTATCTACATTCAACAAGTCAACATGTAGAGCTTGTTGGCAATTTCCAAAAAGAGCCCATACCAAATTTGATAAATCGAACTATCAAAAGTCACTGACGCACGATGTTGATTCTACTTTGTAATATTAACATTTGATGCTTTTTCACCACAGACAGCAAAACTTCCATAAAACACGATACATTAGGTTCATGTTGGGGTTTAAAAGTATAGAAATAAAGTATTCAAATGAAATAAAAGACCGTCGAGTCACAAAATTACTCTTTTCACTTTTACAGTGAACTTTCTGACTGACTTTTTTATTATAAACAGCAAAATTAAACTCTGGAGCAACAGGAAGAATTTAGAAGAGGATGCACTAATTTCTTTTAAAATAATTACAAATGGATTGTTTGCATGAAACTGATAGAAAATGATAGCTCAGAAACGTTCTCATCATAGGTGATATGAGACGGAAAATAGAATTTCATCACAGCAAAAAAAAACCGATATCACGTTTATCCATTAGAGACACTTTCAACCAGTGGCATGGCGTGCTTTGTGATGTATCGATTAATCAGCCATTTAAACCTATGGAAAAGGATCGATAAAGGGTGTTTGCGACGAACACCTTAGTAATTGATTCTTTACTACAACTTCAAATGGGGAAATATTGATAATCGATCATTCACGCCTCGCCACTCTTTTCGACTAACATGGAATTACAGGAACGAAATCAAGAGAAAACGATCACTCAGAAATACTATCATCATAGACAATAAGAGACGGAAAATAAACTTTCATCATAGCGAAAAAAAAAAACGATATCAAGTTAAATCATTGCTATCGATTAAAGAAACATTTGACTAATATGGAATTTTACAAATGAAATTGAGAGAAAATGATCACTCAGAAAATGTATCATCATAGACAATATGAGACGGAAAATAATTTTTCATCATAGCAAAAATAAAAACGATATCAAGTTAAATCATTACTATCGATTAAAGAAACATTTGACTGATATGGAATTTTACAAATGAAATTGAGAGAAAATGATCACTCAGAAAATGTATCATCATAGACAATATGAGACGGAAAATAAACTTTCATCATTGCGAAAAAAAAAACTGAAATGAAGTTTATTCATTACTACCAATTAGAGACACTTGCAACTAAAATAGAATCATGTGAAGAAAATTGAGAAAGAAAGACCACTTAGGAAAGATATCATCAGACACTATAAGATGGAGAATGCTTTATCATTGCAACTTACAACATTGGAGATTGGGTTTGACCTTTCCAGACACAAAATCTTTTCATATTATTTGAAAAGATGAGAGGTTGTTTTGTTAGACTCTCTTCTAGAGCGGATGTCTTATTTAGCTTTTTGGGCGATGCTTTTTTGAGAAGCTCCTGTCCAAGCACAAAGAAAGAAAACCTAACCTTGACAGATTGGATGAAACTTTAAAGGAAGTAGAGGAGGAGGGATCAAGAAGTCTTCGAATCCCCCCCCCCCTCCATGATATTCGTCTGATTTTCAAGAACGAAGATTCTTCATGAAGCTTAGGATTCACTTGACCGGTTTGCCCAAACCGCAACCAAAACTTACGATTTCACAAAGAAAGAGCTGATGATGAAATTGAGAAAAATTTTGCTCAGAAAGTTTATCAACGTTGAAGAAGTTATGTCCGGCAAACTAAAATTCATCAGAGCAAGTTAAAAGATGGGACATTGGAAAAAAGGATGGGTATGTATTCTTCTCTGATACACACAAATGTTTCATCAGTAGCATCGGTACATACAGAGAAAATTTCGATTCCAATTTCATACAGAAAGAGGTATTATAATGTATGAAAGTTTGCTCAGAAAGTTTATCATCAAGAATTTATGTTCGGCAAACTAAATTTCATCATGGCAAATTTATTTATTTTGATTTTTCTTTTAATCAAAGATTCCTCACAAGTGTGTCATACAAATAATAAGTAATTCCCAAAAGGTGTTCCATGAGCCAAATGCATACAGAGACAACCATGAATAACTTGAGAAGACTGAATCTAACCTTACAAACCACTACTTTTAAACGTCAGGTTTAATGCTGATACTTACAGATTGGCTTAAAATAATAATGCTAGTACGAAGATCTGAATGCGTCACAAATTGTCAGAAATGACAACGATCACCAGGAATTTGCTCAGAAAGTTAAGTATCATTAAAGAATTTATGATCGGCAAACTAAATTTCATCATTGCAAATTTGTTTATTTTGATAATTTTTTGAAGATGGTGGAATCAACGATTCCTTACTAAAGTGCTAAACAAATAAGTAATTCCCAAACCATGTTCTATGAGCCAAATGCATACTGACACAATCATGAATAACTTGAGGGATTGAACCTAACCTAACAAACTAGTATTTTTAAATGTTATGTTTAATTCTAATACTTATAGATTGGTTCAAAATAATAACACTGGTCCTAATACCTTAATGCGTCACAAATTGACAGAAATAAGTGGGATCACCAGGAATTTGCTCAGAAAGTCAATTATCATTAAAGAATTTAAGATGGATATCAATTTCATCATGGCAAAGAACCCTGCACAGAACAGGAGGCTCAGTGGCCCTCGGGAGATTTTGATAAAACTTGAATAGAATAACTTAAAGTTCATCATTGGCACAGAGCCAAAAAATTAGCTCATTCTAATGCGTAGAAGTCGAGATATTCGCGATTAAACACGGGCAATTTTCTATCATATCATAGCATGACGAAGACTTGCGAATTCCCTCTCCTCGTTCGGCGTTTTCGATTAGACTTCAAATACAGTTAGGTGCTTGCACATTTGGCCAATGCAAAGACCGTATGCCCTCTTTCTCCCAGCGTCTACCGATTCTGTTTCAGCAACTATTTAGTCATTGCAGAGGAGAGGTGCGACAGATAAGAGGATTCCAAATCGCACTGACCGAGCAGCTACCTGGAGGAGAGAGGGGGTTTCCGGGCTGAAGTCTGAAGGGTTCAAGCACAAGAAAAGGCGACGAGGAGCGTTCATTTATCTCTGCCGCACAAAAAATGGCCTGTGCTTGATTGCAAATATCTCCGCTTCTACTCATTAGAATGAGCTAATTTTTTGGCTTTGTGCTAATGATGAACTTTATGTTAATCTATTAGAGTTTCATTCAAATCCACCAAGGGCCACTGAGCCCCCTATTCTGTGCAGAGTTTTTTATTTATTTTAATTATTTTTTGAGGAGGGTGGAATCAAAGATTCCTCACAAGTGTGTTATACAAATAAGTAATTCCCAAACAATGTTCCATGAACCCAATGCATACAGACACAACCATGAAAAATCAAGTTTTTCATGGTTGTGAAGATTGTACCTAACTGAACAAACCGCTAATTTTAAACGTCAGGTTTAATGCTATTACTTATAGATAGGCTCAAAATAATAACGCTGGTCCAAATACCTGAGTGCGTCACAAATTGACAGAAATAAGTACAATCACCAGGAATTTGCTCAGAAAGTTGATTATCATTAAAGAGTTTATGTTCGGCAAACTAAATTTCATCATGGCAAATTTGTTTATTCTAATACTTCACTTGTTTGCTGTTGTGATTTTAGGATGTCGGATGGGATCAAAGATTCCTCACAAGTGTGTGATAAAAATTAGTAATATCCAAACAATGTTGCATGAACCAAATGCAAACAGCCACCACCATGAACAACTTGAGAAGAATGAAGTTAAATTAAATTGCTACTTTAAAATGTCCGGTTTAGCGTAGGTACTTACAGAGAAGCTCAAAATAATAACATTAATGGGAATATGTTGAAGCAGAATAAATTAGCAGAAATAAGAACAGACACCAGAAATTTGCTCAGAAAATGCTGTTCATCATTAAAGAATTTATGTTCGGCAAACTAAATTTCATCATGACAACATCCTAACATTTTGTTTGTTCACTGTTGTGATTTTAGTATGTTGGATGAGATCAAAAATTTCTCATAAGTGTGTGATGAAAAAAAGTAATTCCTAAACAATGTCGCATGACCTAAATGCAAACAGTAACCACTGTGAACAACTCAAGAAGAATGAAATTATATTGAACTGCTACTTCAAAACGTTGGGTTAATGCTGGTACTTACACATTAGCTCAAAATAATGACACTAATCCAAACATGTTGAAGCAGAACAAATTGGCAGAAATAACACCGGACACCAGAAATTTGCTCAGAAAATGCTCTTCATCATTAAAGAATTTATGTTCGGCAAACTAAATTTCATCATGGCAAATTTATTTATTTTAATATTTTGTTTGTTTTTTTTTGAAGAGAGGGTAAGATCAAAGATTCCTCATAAGTATATGTATGATACAGAGAAGTAATTTCTGAACAGTATTCCATGAACCAAACGTATACAGCGACCTTAATGGAGAACAATAATAACATTGGTCCAAATGTCTAGATGCAGCACAAGTTAACAAAAATAACACCTAAGTAATGTCTTTTAAATGGCATGAGGTGCAAAATGACACACTTCAGAATGGAGGCAGAGAGAGTTAAGAATGGAGTTAACCAAAATTTGCTCAGAAAGTTTATCATCATTTGAGAATTTATGTCCGGCAAACTAAAATTCATCAGAGCAAAATCATCCATTGTATATTGGCTTATTATTTTTTTTTCATTTTAGGAGGAGGTGGTTTTAAAAGTTCTCTGGAGTCAACTCCTATGCACAAAAAAAGGTTTTAAATTTGAGGTTATAGTATGAAAAATAGCCTAATTCTGTTAAAGAGTCACTTTTAAATTCAATTATTATGAAGAGATGGAATGGTTCAAAAAGCCTGCTCCAGGCCTGTCACTCAGACAATTAGTGATAGTAAATACAAAGTCACGTCAGAAGTTAGATTCATTATTTTTTACGTCCAATTTGTGACAGCTAAAAGAAATCTAATTACTCTGTCTTATTTGAAATTTTTTGAGCTTCCTGACAGTATATGGGATTTTGAAATTTTACCTACGCGTAACATAGGGAGAGCATTTTTCTGTGGATACCTTGAAAATTTTATGTACACTAGTTCATGAAGAAAAAATTAGATTTCCTTGATAGACTGATTTGAAGGGCTACAACATGGTTTCATTATAAACAAACATATAGTCTTGAATCTGACTCATGCCCTTTGTGCCTCAGAAGTAAAATGTATATAATTGATTTTCGATTTTTCAATGACTAAATTGTAATAAATTAACAGTTAACTTTACATACTTGTCTCTGAAGTTTGGATATGCATTTATGTTCTATTGTTTTGGTTTGAACCATCATAGATCCATAAGTTGATTATCGCAATGAAGTAGCCACTAAGTCAGTTTCTTGCTATTGAGGCTAAAAAAATTCTATTAACGTTTAAAAAGTGTAAATTTCCGGCTTTCAAACTGAATCGTTGATTTTTTGCTGTTTGTCTGATCAGTTGCTTGGGAACTGAATTTTTTCACGAATGCGTCGAGACATGACAATTTTGTATTGGTTTTCGTGAGGAAGAAAATTTCTCTATTTTTCTCTGGATTTAACTCGAGGCTATCAAAAAAACAAACTAGACTACTACTGACTTCAATAAAGGACTAATAAAGCTTGAAACTCATTGAAAAACCAATATTGTTAGATTGAAAGTATTTGAAGGCCCATAAATTAAACATGTGCCCAATGATTAACATTTTCGGACATATTTGAGTGTCAATTGAGGAGGTTCCAGTTCTTTCAAAATAGGAACGTTTCAAAGGTACGATAGAAGTTGGGATGCATTCAAAGGTAGATACCTTTTATGAAACCATCTTTAAAATTGGCAAGATATTTTTTCAAGTGGCCATAGATAAATGCTCTCCCTAAGTTACTAGCAAGGAAATTTCTGATGGAATAGAACAGTCAAATTTTTTTGGGCTTTTACAACTTCTATAAATAAAAGGAGGAACCTTACTTTTGGCATTACCCTGATAACAGTGTGACTAATAAGGTAGGAGATGCAGCACCTGTCTGAGAGTTCACAGACCAAAGCACACTACATTAATAGTATCAGATCAACTAAGACAGTACGATATGTGCGGAGAGTAGTTTTTGCCGTTGTATTTTTCATACTTTGGAATTACAGGACCAGCGAAATGCGATGGAATTTTGTTTGCTAGAGGAAAGCAGTTGAAAAACTTTCGAAAATCTTTGAAAAGCAAGTAGAATCACATGGTGAATGGTTATCTGGTGTTATCAGCAAGTTTATGGACCCTGTACAGAAATTTTGGGGTCCGCATTCCAGACACAAATTAATGATAGAGTTCGAGTTTAGGTCTGGGCCCAAGTGATTCCTCGGTACCCGATCAGACTTGGACCCAAGTCCTGTGCTGGTTCTTCTCAAGAGAGGAAGTGGCGCGGCATCTTGCCAAGAATTTGCCAAAAGCTTGCACAGCAATTACTAAAACGTTTACGAGCTGATAGCTGAGTCTCAGCTGGATTGGGCTTAGGATGAATATCAGCCCGAAAAACGAACATTAGACAGGTGCTCGAGAGTAATTTTTGCCGAAATTTGAGCCGAACTTTGACAGAGGTGCCATGACTGTTGGTTTGATATTCCAGTCTTAAAACTTGCAAGTCACTAAACACACACCGCAGATTGAAATTGGACACCACACAGGAAAAATCCTGATCCATTGCAAAATTCAAAATCTGGCGGAATTTTTTAACTTTTCCACCATAACTTTTCGAACAGTTCAGTCTTAATTCATCAGTGATGCAAAGTCTGCTAGGCGTTTAAAAATTGATATTTTCACTGAACCTTGGGTATTTCAATTCAACATTCTAAATTTTGAATGTTCTTCAAAATTTGCTAATTTTTGTTTTAAAATTGAGACCTGATGGTTAAATCTAGAGACCTGAGGATTGAATTTAAATTCTGAAATGGCCACCGTCTGATTAAGCAAGAGCATGGAAAAATCAGGAAATAAAAAGGGCACAGTTATCATCACAGTTAGATTGCCTCAGATGTAAGTCTAATCATGAACCATGTAGAAATAAACAAATCTCCAGCTCAATTCCTTGACAGAAAATAGAGGATTTAGGGAACAGGAAGGCTTAAGAGAGAAAGGAAAGCTTTAGAAAACAGGAGGGCTTAGAGAAAGAGAGAGGGGGGGGGGAGCGAGAGAGAAAAACAAGATGAGAGAAATAGGAGTGTTTAGGACAGGAGAAATAAATGTAACTGAGCTAAGTTGTCAGACAATTTACACTTAAATTGATAAACAGGCTTTACTCAGTGAAGAACCTTTCTTTTTGTGCATCTGCTAAGATGAGTCAACCAAAACTAGAGGTGACTCACAACTATGCAGAGACTACACAAGGAAGCAAAGCAAGAGATATTGTTTTTTTCTACATGTCAAACCTTTTACCAATCATCATTGGCAAATTAAAGAATGTATAAAAAAGAAGGAGCAAATAGGTAAAAAAGTTAAAGAATGCTTTTGCTTCCATAATCTGCATCACTTGGTTCTTTTTTATTTGTTTGGCTTTTATTCTTTCCTTTTTTTCCTGTGAATGTACAGCCATCTACAGAAGAATGCGTTTGATTCAGTGATAGGAGGGTTAGATTGATATTTTATCAAATTATTAGAGTTGCAGGAGGGATTATGAATTTAGAGGAGACAATAGAAAAAACTTAGGTGTCCTAACGCCAGTTTTAGGCTAAGAGGTTGTTCCAGCATTTAGAGAGTGCAATCAATATTCTTCCCTCAATAGAAGGCATCCAATAAAAAAAAAAAAAAAAAAAAAAAAAAAAAAAAAAAACTAAATAAATTAAGTTTACCAGATTTGGGAAGAAAACGCATGAAGCAACAGGGCATGTTTCATTGTTACTTGACTTACTCACCTCCTGAAACAAACAAAATGAAAAACAAAAATTAGAAAACAGTGGTACAATGCTGGTTCAAAAATACTTTGAAAATATTCAGATCCAAACTGAACGCTAACAGAAAAATGGCTCACCCTTCCTTAGAAAACCTCAACAGCTTGAACATGGAAAAGTCTTACGATAGAAATTAAATATTTGCCACGAAACTTCAAATTTATTTTTACCTGAGGAAAAAAAGATTATTACCTCTGGTTTTACCTGCAACCTTTGCAAGGAAAATCCATCTTTTCAGAATATACACTAAAACTAGCAGATATCTTATGGACAATTAAAGAGTATTAACTCACAACCAGTTACTTTCAGTGCATCATTGATGATTTATGGCCCTTATAAAACAAGGTCAAATCAGGTAAACCAACAATTAAGAGAAACAGTGCATCTCTGATCAGGACACATTTTAGAACCCTTTTAAAACAATGCCGAAATGGTTAAACCACCATTTTGAGATCCAGAAGGATACTGTGATACAACGTACAAGTCAGCCTCAGTGGTGTAGTGGTCAAGGCAGTTCGCTGCCAACACTGAAGTCCCGGGTTCAATCCCCGGAAGTGACTGATATTTGAGGACACTCAAATGTCGGTCATCGTGATCGTGAATGACTATGCCACTCCAAAACCCTGACCCTTTGAGGTAACTGAATGTGGAAGGGACATAGTTACCCAGTAAGTAAATCGTCCGCACTGTTCGACTGGGTTGTGAAAAAATCGGTGATCACTCGTAGTGTGCGCGACTGCCAACGCTACCTATCAGTGGAGATTGAAACAACACAGTCCAACTCGGTGGAGGCATGGCCCCACTCCGAAAATCTCTGCAGCGTCTGCCACTGTTTTTGATACGACCTAACGTTGACTATCAGGCGGCCGCTCAGCCTTGCAAGAATAAAGAGTCTACAGAATGTGTCAATAGTACGAAGTTAAGGAGCACGGTCCAATTTCGGGGTGGGGTTCTCACCAGTTAGCCCGGCCCTCACTTACTTACAACATACAAAGAGAGAAAATGCACCTGTTATCCTTCATTCCCTTTCACTAACTTTTTCCGTTTCTTAAATGCTTTCTAAACTTTCCAAAGTACGGACTTCTTTCCCAATCACACGAATAATGTTTTCAACATTGAACATAAATACTTTTCTTAGTGCCCCCATTCATCTTCAATATTTGGCAAAAAAATCATAATGAGAGCTGTGATATTCGCTCAAGAAAAACGAAGTAGCTTCAGCTTGGAGCAGGAAAAAGAAAAATCTGATTCGACAAGAGGAATGAAAGGATAGTAAGGGAATGAACTGAAACACGAGGAATCAAACTGCAAGAACTTGATAATGTGGGCTATGTTGAGAAATTGCATACTTTTAAGGCTTGTAGTAATTAAAGTTCATCCTGAAAATCTCATAAATCCAAATTTTTTTTAGGATCTAAGCGTTTTGGTGCATCCGTGCTAATCTTTCAAAATCCATGAGTTTTCAGTGTAACCATACATTTTTTGTACAATGGATAACGTGAAAACAAGTAGTTATATGCCACTTCTCTCTAGAATGCTGGAGTACCTCAATGTGGAAAGTCTTTGCACATTGCTTTTAAACATTTTGTGAGTTCCCGATATTTTTATGTTCAAAAGTAAGGCTCCTGCCGGCAAGAAAGTTCTTAAAACATAATTTTCTGATTTTATCATTCTTTCTGGAAGTTTGAATGATCTACGACACAACCAAATGTTTGGCTACTAAAACAAGTTGAATTGTATTGAATTACCCAATCACAAAGTTTTTGGTTTCAGCTAGATCTTCATTTGAAGAGAGGGGTTGTCTTTCTACTGCCTCACCGATCAAGCCTGCCAATATAGGTAACTTCGAAATAACTAATGAATCTACTCAACCGCTCCTCCGCTCCTGCAGTCTATAAAAGTTACTGTCTAGCAATATTCTGAATGCTTTGATCACGGCTTCAGGAGGCATAAAAACCATTTGAAGTAGGTAGCAAAGCAATTCAAACTGGGTCATCCCAGTAGCTATGCATATTCAAATCAGCCATTCCCCAGCATGGATTGCTATAGATTACTGACCTACCTATTTTTTTTTGCTTTACTGAGCTTCACTTTTCGCTTTGTGAACTGCCACCGAGGTGAACGAACATAACAGAATGACAAACTGATTGCAGTAGACGCACAAGTCATTAAGTCAGAAATAGTTGGTGACGTAGCCAACGTACATTAAAAATCAACATAAAGCTGAGCATCTCAATACAGAGGGAAAAAGCTCATAAGAGCACAATTTTCCCTCAAAAAGATGTGCTGTTTGGTGCAACACTAGTTACGACCATCCAGGAAGGGAACTGCAGATGTATTTCCGGTCTGATTGGACCCATCGTCTGTACAGAGCAGCATCCTGAATCTTCTGCCAACAAGCTGGGAGAGGTCGCGAAAACCAGCCCGAGACTTGGGCATGTGGTCGCGGCGACAGGCGAACTTGCATCATTGAGGGAAAATTGTGCTCGTATGAGCTTAATCCATCTGTATTGAGATTTTCAGCTTTATGCTGATTTTTAACGCTTGTTGGCTACGTCACCAACTTTTTCTGTTTGACTTGTGTGTCTACCGCAATCAGTTTGTAAAAATTGCCTTGCCAGGCTTTAAGCAGTGCTGTTTGGATAATCGCTCACTAGATGGCACAAGTTCGTTTGTCGTCGCGACCACATACCCACATCTCAGGCTTGTTTTCACGAACTCTCCGAGCTTGATAGTAGAAAATTCAAGAGGCTGCGCTGCACTAAGGATGGGTCTAATTAGACCCAAAACACGTCTAAAGTTGCCTTCCTGAATGGTCGTAACTAGTGTTGCACGAAACAGCACATCTCTTTGAGGGCAAATTGTGCTCATGTGAGCTTTTTCCCTCTGTATTGAGAATTTCAGCTGTATGCTGATTTTCAACGCCTGTTGGCTACTTCACCCTTTTCCTATGACAGTATGAGGTAAATCAGAGAAAAATAATTCAATGAAATGTCCGCGACGCACAATCATAGAATCTGATACTCTACAGCCCTACCTCCAGATATTAAAAGTAATCTTGTTCTCTTGGCTGAGTAGGGGTGCTACCAAGAGGTCCTTGTCGAAGACTGACAGAATTTCTGTTTAAAATTTTCTTAAAAAAAACTTTTTGAAACCCTCCTTTAAATGTTGAACTTAGAGCTAGAAGAGTATCATTTTAACTGTGAGATGGTAAACTTGTACTTATTTGAGACCCAGATAAATTCACCTAATTAAATTTCATAAGCCTCCTAAATGAAGCCATATCAGTAAAAACCGTGGAAATCGAGCATTGGCCATTTTTAGGGATAACGCTTTTTCAGAATCCGCTAACCTTCAAGAGTGTTGGTTCCAACTTTCAGACTTCTGGCATACTTTTTCATTGAGATATGGGTAAAAAACCGTGTTATGTCTAAAAACATCCGATGTCAAAATTCATTGAATTATAAATGATGAGCTGAATAATTTGCTGTAGACTCATTGATCTCCTTAAGGATCATAAGTACGAACACATTACAATAGTAATAAAAGTTAATAAGACGTATTATACGTAAGTCTTTGGGAGAAGGCATTCTTCATAATTTTTTCCTTATTTGTAAAAACTAACAATATAGTTGGTTCCTTATTTTTTGGGAGGTTTACTAAATTTTTTGTACGAAAAATCGTTGAAAAGTTAACAGTGATCATAATTCGATGAATATCGGACGCTCTGCTTCCCTTGCATTAGCTAGGCAGTTCATTTAATGCCTAAAAAATAATTTTTCAAAAAACATCGGATGCAGCTCTTTTTCAAAATCACTATGTCGAATGGACATTTGCTTCAAACTTAACTTTCTAAAGCTTACTTTTTAGATGAAGATCCGTTCTATTAGAAATTCTTTGACTGAGCCCTATTTGCTGCATGGACATCGAAGCACACAGCTTTGAAAACTCTGAACGCAATTTTCTCAAAACTTAAAAACGCATAAGCTGACCTTACATATGAGGCTTCAAATATTTGCACTAGTGGAAGACGGAATAAAAAAGTATGATTTCAGCAGAACTATTCATCTGACTCCTATTCATGGAAGCAGAAACAATGAGATCATGAGACAGCCATGAGTTTTAAAACAAGTTCATCATGTTCGTCAATATTTTAGCATAATAACACCCACTTTCTGTCATAACGTACACATGAGTTCTTCAGAAACTTTATATTCTAAAAGAAAGTCAACTAATTTTGGTTTATAGCAAAATTTGATTCAGTATTACAACCAGCACTTTTCTTTAAATGGTAGATATTGCGCACAAAATTCGTCCTTGATCCCTCACAAAAATTATCTAATTTGGCTCATTCCGGTCAATTACTGACTGAACAGCATCTATAGCACGGTTCGTTTCAGAGGGAGGTAAATGAAATTGTGTTGCCCACTCAAAATTCCTTCAGGATCTTGAAGTAGGATGCATACACAGTCATTTAAGCCTAAAATGAAAATATTCTGTCGAGCTCTTCGAAAATAAAATAGATTTTTGTGTTTTTGGCGCTAAAATGGCCTTCAAAGACGATCGATGATTCAATTCCGATGGGTTGTGCATATGTAAAATGGTACATGTGTGATGGACTCTACGTATTTTTGGACCAGGAATCGATTGAGCAGGGTCCTGAATCGGTCCGAAGCTTCATGGGCTGAAAAATGGGCCTTTTTTGGATTTTAGGGGTGTTTTGGGCCCATTTTCCCCCAATTTTGGCGTGAAAAAACCTGTGCCGTCATGGGTAATGATTATCGGGTCATTTCGGGCGGACCATCGAATGCACTTGGTCCCGAGACACTCCGGGGCTTCCAGAGTGATACACGGTTTTCGAGATACAGGGGATCAAAGTCCCCGATTTTCACTCAATTCTGCAGGTATTTTAATGTTCAATTCCGACTATAAATTGCTTTCTGATTTAGATATCGAAGCGCATTTTGCGATGGTTGATTCAGCTACGTGTGGTGGATTTTTCTACATATTTCACAAACCCTCACTTTGTTTTTTTTTTTTT